GTGGGTGGGTGCGTAGGTGGGTGTGGGTGGGTGCGTAGGTGGGTGGGTGGGTGCGTAGGTGGGTGGGTGGGTGGGTGGGTGGGTGGGTGGGTGGGTGGGTGGGTGGGTGGGTGGGTGGGTGGGTGGGTGGGTGGGTGGGTGGGTGGGTGGGTGGGGTTGGTTGGTTGGGTGGGGTTGGTTGGGTGGGTGGGTGGGTGGGTGGGTGGGTGGGTGGGTGGGTGGGAGGGAGGGAGGGAGTGAGTGAGTGAGTGAGGGAGGGAGTGAGGGAGGGAGGGAGGGAGCGAGGGAGGGAGTGAGTGAGTGAGTGAGTGAGGGAGGGAGGGAGGGAGGGAGGGAGCGAGGGAGTGAGTGAGTGAGTGAGTGAGTGAGTGAGTGAGTGAGTGAGTGAGTGAGTGAGTGAATGAGTGAGTGAGTGAGTGAGTGAGTGCGTGAGTGAGTGAGTGAGTGAAGGAGCGAGTGAGTGAGGGGAGAGATAGGTGGATACGCGGAATAGAGGAGGTTCAGGAAAGGACCGCGTCCTTTGGTCACTAGTCAGTCAAATGCCAAGAGATGGATGACCAAGCGACGGAAATCAGTGCTGGAGAGTCCTTGCATCACACGAGGGCGTTCCCGTTGTGATGGGAGTTGGCGGTGGGAAATTTCTGTTTGTGGGAATGTGGTGACGGGAAGCCGTACTGGTACAAGCTGCGTCCTCATCCTTTCACTCACCCCATCATCTTCCCATCATGTGTTTTCTGATAGTATGTTGAATCAAGCGAGGCGAGTCAGTGCATGAGGGTCGGAAGGGATCAGATCATCTTCCTTCACTCACGTTCATATCTTGCATCCCTGCATTTGAAGACTTCCGGATTTACTGACTCTCTCTGTCATCGAAAGATGGAATGGAGAAAGAGAACCAGCCGATCATCTGATTCTTGTGGATCGAGGAGTTCATAACATGAAAGAGTGAGAAAATGAAAAGCAATATAATGATACATAACTATGAAGCAGCGAACAATCAATCCTCGAACATTGCATGGTTAGAAGCATTTGGAGTCTGTTTGAGGATGATGACCTATAAAACGATAATGGCTTTCTGGCTCTCCATTCACCAGCTTCTCTGTATTTCTGTGTGAGGGCTGAAGGATTGGGTTCATTCTTGGGTTTACTCACCGGGCCCCGGCAAGGATGCCATACATGCCATCAGTCAACTTCTGTGAAAATCCGTGTCTCCTTGAAAAATCTATGGTTCCCGTCCGAGCCCCAACCCCAAGTAAAAGGGTCCTTTGAGTCTCGTGGTTGTCAGAGTCCTGGACCAAACTCAAAGCTGGCCTCCCTGTCAAAACAACCCACGGGCACTCACCGCCGGAAACCAACCCACTTTGCAACCGAGTGCGATCCGTCGGAATCTGGACACTTTTGTTGTCATCAATTTCTTGCTCGTTTGCAGCCCGTCCCTCAAACCCAGCGAGCCACCACAAACCCCCAACAACCTGCGACGTCCGTGGCTTCTTTCCCAAGAAGACCCACCTGAACAGGGCGCTCAGAGCTCAGAAAAAAGAAAGCCTCGGCCCCGCGCCAGGGAAGGCTTCTTGCCCAACGACGCAAAACCCAGCTCCACGCCCTCCAAGTTCACCGCGTTCTCTACCTGCGCAAGGCAGAGGCGTCTCGGCGCGCGGTTCGTTCGCAGCTACTTTCGATTGCTGGTTGCGTTGATTAAGCCGTTTGAAGTTTGGCGGTTGACTGGTTTCTGGGCTTGGCTGGATTGGGCTTGGGATCTTTAACAAGGATAGAATCTCTAGAAAATCAGAGCTCTTCGGGCATTGAGCAAGACGGTCGCGTCCCAAACCCCAAACAGGCCACAAACACACATCCGGATACCCTCCAACAATCACGGAAGCTGACGTGAAGGTTCGGAAGGCTACAATGCTTTTAGTGGTTTCTCGTCTGAACATGGACCCCAACACTACAATGTACAGCAGAATCTCCTTTTAGGGTATCCTGTTTGCGCGGTTCATGCCAATCTGTAGGTCACCAGATTGGCCGGGACCCAACTTATTTCGAAAGAACGTCCCAACATGTCTCGTCTTGCAGTGTTGCGCCCATTCGACCAGATCCGTCGCCACTTTTGGGGCTCAGTCAAAGCAAAATGACATGTTCCAATGGTACGACACCATGTCTGGCACTAAACTTTCATTGGTCAAAGATTCCGACCAATAAACAAAAACTCCGGAAAGAAAACCAAAAAAACTCAGATTCCGACCAATAAACAAGAACTCAGGAAACATATCCCAAAAATTTCCTCAGGGCCAACCCTTCCTTCACGTCCTATCCGCTCAGAGTCGGGCCAGGAAGTCCATCAAGGGGTCGAAGTCCCGGGCTCCCGAGAAGATCAGTTTCTGCCGCATCCTGGGCGATGCACTCGTCGGCGCTACCCCCAACCGCGCACCCACGCCAACACATGCACCCCTACAAGTGTTACGTATTGTTGTTTCTTTTTCTCTGGTGGTTTCGGGGTCTTTTTTGAGTTGAAAACCTTTTCAGGCTGGTTGTTCCCTTTCAGTTTGGACCCTTGTTTTGACGAGCCAGATCATACCCACTTGGAACCTAGCCCCATCACCAAAAGCGGCAGAACCATCCCAAGGGTTCATCCCCCCATCCTTCCCTTCAACTGGGCCATTTCCATTTGAGTTTTGGCACATGTTCTGATTACGAAACTAAAGCCTCAAAAAGCACGGCGATGGGGGAAAAGGGGGGGAAGGGGGGTGAAAGCCAACCCCTAAACAAAGAGAAGGGGTGACAAACCAACCCTTAAAAAAAAAAAACGTCCCAACTGAATTCGGGGAGTTGCCATCCCGAGGCCGGCACTTCTTCTCCTTCTTCACCGCCGGGTACAGCACCAGCGTGGGGAAGCCTCATGCCCCGATGCGCCATGGACCCTTCCCCCGCCCGCCTGAAAGAAATGCGAGGGACAACCAAAAATGGACATCCCAATGCGCACATAATAATGTGGATGTGTATATATATATATATATATTTATGTACATGTAGAAATACACCTTGAGAGAGAGAGAGAGAGAGAGAGAGATGTGAGAGTACATGCAGTGTTGTACTACTACTACTACATAGCTTGTACATGACCGCAGGCCTTGAGCTTTACTACATTGCGAGCCCATGAGAAACAGGAGCTGTGCAGACTACAAGTTTGTTTGTGTAGGAATTGCTCTTCGAACTGCTTCATTGAATGTAGGTCCCAGTAGTTTGGTAAGGTAGCCAACGCTTCGTGTTCCTACTGGCAGGCTGAACCTGTTGTGTAAGAGTCGTAGTGTTTCACATCCATTTGCGTTGTACCGGTTTTGCCTTACTACTGTAGCTGCTGCTCCCTGACATGTGTTGATGAGGATGTCGTGTAGGTTTCTGGTGAGGTCTACTGCTTTGCTTGCTTGTTTAGGGTCGCGTATGTGTGTTCTGATGTCTGCATCCTCAATGTTTTGTGTAGCTACTTGTGCCAGTTGTATGAGTCCGAGATATGCTTAGCTTGAGCAGCCATATTCTTCATACTGGGAGCAGTCACCAGTGAAGAAGGGTGGTGGCAGTTTGTATCAATGTAGTCTGTGAACGTCGTTGTCTTGTTTCGCTTCTGCTCCCATAGTCGTGGCTCCTACTTACTGTTTCTGCTGTTGGCCCATTCTCTGTTCCTGTAGGTTGTTGCGCTGAAGCTGATGCTGCTTCTCCTGACATGTCGTAGTAATTTGGCATGTGATTGCTGCTGCGGTTGTTGTAGTACTTACTGCTGGATACTGGAGCTCCCCTACGTTTAGGATCTCAGCCCCGTTACCACGTTAAACTCAGACTTCTGTTTACAACAAGTGCAAGTGTTGTGTTGCTGCAACAACATCTCCAACTGCGAGCTGGACAGGGACTACTACAAGACGATCTCTGCTTTCTCAAGAGCGACTTCAGCTGTAGGCACAAACTACAACGGCGGACCTGCACCAATTGACGTTGGAGGAAAGGAAGAAACTACAAAGGCAAAGGAAAAGGCAAAGGCCACTACAAAGGAAGAAAAGGAAAAGGCAAATACAGGAGCAGAGGACACTACAAGGGATTTGACAAAGGCAACAAAGGAAGCTACAACAAAGGAGGATACAACAAGAGCAAAAAAAAAGGCTACTCAAGATCCAAAGGCTATGGATCAAACAAAGGCTAAAAAGGCCAAGGAAACTACAGCAAAGCAAAAGGAAAAGGAAGCAACAACTACATGACATGACACCGATGTGGCAAGCCCGGCCATTGGGCCCAGGACTGCGGAGTGCCTGTTTGGCACATAGGAGAAGGAAAGCAGATCAGGACAACAGCGAAGAACTGCCTCAGGATCTGAACGACACTTGGGACTGGTACTACAAGGGAGAAATAGGACATGGACACGAGGTGAACTACATGGAGGAGAGTTGGACCGACTACGACTATGACAACAGCTGGGATTGGAATGACAACAGCGATGAAGACACAGCAAACTACATTGGAGGCGTCAACAAGTCACACCAAACCATTCGACAAGCAAAGTCACTACCACACAGGCACAAATACAAATCACTACTTGGAAACAATGCAACGCACGCAACACCATGAAACGACCACAGCAAAAGCTTTCAACAATTCTTACAAGAGGACACAACACAACTGCACTTCGACATAGCAGCAGCAACACAACAGCAAAGAAACAAGAAGACACCATCACACACTACATCATGTACTCCAACTTCAAGTCATACCACCACCTGCTGATCGACTCAGGAGCATCTACACATGTTTGCCCAGAGGACTACGCACCAGATCTACCACTACGACCTTGTGGAGAATCAATTCCACAACTCTACACGGTTACCAACAAGAAGATCCCTGTTTACGGCATCAAGTATGTTCCCTACAAGCAGGACAACTTCCGGATCATGATACCCTACTACGTTTGTGATGTGAAGTATCCTATCCTCAGTGCATCAAGACTACTTGATAGAGGATATGGACTCGACTTCAATCCACGACACTGCACCATCACACATGGACAACAACAAGCACACCTCATCAGACACTCAGGACTCTTCTACCTACGAGCAGAAAAGATCGACATCCCTACAGGATTCGAGATCTACCCAATGACTACAGACAATGGAAAATCCATTGCTGTGATTCAACCTACAGAGAAAGCAAAAACCACAACAAGAACAAATTGCACCACTCACACACACAGACCAAGGACTGCGACAGATCCTTGGTGGAAACACTGACTTCTGGAAACTTGACGGCGTAAACAAACGACCACGCAAAGCACTTTTCACACCACACAGCAGCGGCTGCCCAATACAAGAAGAAGAACTAGATGATTGGCGACTAACCATCATCAACAGACAAGGGCAAGAACAAGAACAACTACAAGAGAACCCCAAACAACTTTCCAAGCAAGAACTACAAAGAAGACTATTCAAAAGAAAGATAACACCTACACGCAGAGCAACATCAAAGACCACACCAACAAGACAGAGCTCACAACCACAACAACTACTGGATACACCACCAACAAAACCAAAGATTCAACTTCGCTTTGCACAAAAGATATGGAGACCCAAAGCAGCACCTTCTACAGACCTTGGCACCACACAACCAAAGGCGACCATACACAGACCACTCACAGCACAAGAAGACAACCAAGGTGAACACTGGATAAGACACCACATATTCCAACAGATGGACCAGGACACCCACCAATCAACACACTCGAACCTCACAGAACTACAATCACCAACAACAACTTTGGAGAAGCTTCACAACGCAAAGATGACTGGACAGCCATGGGCAACGCAGCACTACCATGTCAATGGAAAGGAACAACAAGGTTCACCAAAAAGAAAGACTACGAGCACATCCACGAGAACCACGACGAGGAACAACAACACGAACATCATGAAGCGCACGGAGCAAGAGGACTGCGACAACCACAGCAACCAACTCCACAAGAAACAACAATCACGACATTCCGTCATGCAAGTAGACTTTGCCTACATCGAATCACAACAAGCCCCCAGAACCATACCAGTCTTGACAGCAGTTGATGTTACTACACAACTGTGTATGGCGGGAATGGCCCCGGACAAACCATCAATGATGGACTACATGGTCAACAACCTACAAGCATTCATCTTGGAGCGCGGAAGAACACACAGCATACTACAAAGCGACAACGAAGACACACTCAACGCACTTCTAAAAGCTACAGCTGACAAAGTTGGCCCAATGACTGTTCGACCTGCACCCTCCTACAGCAGCAACAGTCAAGGAAGCGTTGAGCGACTACATCGAACACTTCTTTGACAGATACGCGTTGTCAAAGCACAAGTTGAAAGCAACTACAGTATGACAATGTCCAGAAAGCACTGTCTACTACCTTGGATAGTACGGCATGCAGCATGGACGGTAAATCGCTACGTCATCCACTCCGACGACTACAAAAGCTTCGAACGCCGCTGGGGAGAAACTACGAGCGAGCGATTTGCGAATTTGGCGAAACACTACCTTACCTTCCACCACAACACATGAAACTTCCGAAAGCAGACCTACGAATGCTCTTTTCTGACGATTGTAGTTGCGTGTCCAACAGTGTTGCGAATGACGGGTGCAGGTGTTCCGTCGTGGCGCCCAAGGTGTGCCGGAAACTTTGTTTAGTTCCGGCTGTAGTCTCCGTACTGTTCGTACTTTCAGTACGCCTTGTTCTGTTGCGACGTAGTTTTCTCCGGTTTCGGACACTTTTCCGAGACGAGCTACACAAGACGTCGGACAACAGACGAACTTGACGGACGATATCGTCGCGGAACCCGCAACGAAACAACAACGCACTACGTCACCTCTATGACTTCCGCCAACCTCGACGTCAAGCTCACGACCACTACCGAATAGCCCCATGGCTGCTTCACCTACCGGACGAGAACATCCACCACCACCAGCACCACCTCGACAAACACTACGGCGCGTGACTCCGGAAGAAGTAACGCAACCGACAAAAGCACAACAGACTGCAAAAAACACTACAATCAGATACGGAAGCCACAACATCCATCACTTCCTACACAAACGACGACACCTCCGAGACTGAATCCTGAACAGCGAGAGCGAGGACTACACCTGCTTTCCTTTTCACTACAGTAGCATGGATGAACAACACTTGTTTTCATCACTACTGTCAATCCTGACATTTGCATTCCAGCTAAAAGATACTACATGATCTTTTAACTCAGGAACGCTGTCAGAGTACATGCGGTGTTGTACTACATGGCTTGTACATGACCGCAGGCCTTGAGCTTTACATTGCGAGCCCATGAGCAACAGGAGTTGCGCAGACTACAGGTTTGTTTGTGTTGACAGCAACTGGTGACTGCTCCTAGTATGAAGAATATGGCTGCTGAAGCTAAGCATATCTCGGACTCATAGACCAAGACTTCGACCTGGTGCTACAACTGGCACAAGTAGCTACACGACACATTGAGGATGCAGACATCAGAACACACATACGCGACCTACACAAGCAAGCAAAGCAGTAGACCTCGCCAGAAAGCTACACTACATCCTCATCAACATATGTCAGGGAGCAGCAGCTACAGCAGTAAGGCAAAATCGCTACAACGCAAATGGATGTGAAACACTACGACTCTTACACAACAGGTTCAGCGTACCAGTAGGAACACGAAGCGTTGGCTACCTTACCAAACTACTGGGACCGAAATTCAATGAAGCACAGCTTGAAGAGCAATTCCTACAATGGGAATACGACATCAACCGCTACTACAAGACGACCTCTGCTTTCTCAAGAGCGACTTCAGCTGTAGGCACAAACTACAATGGAGGACCTGCTCGTATGGACATTGGAGGAAAGGAAGAAACTACAAAGGCAAAGGAAAAGGCAAAGGCCACTACAAAGGAAGAAAAGGAAAAGGCAAATGCAGGAGCAAAGGACACTACAAGGGATTTAACAAAGGCAACAAAGGAAGCTACAACAAAGAAGGATACAACAAGAGCAAAGGAAAAGGCTACTCAAGATCCAAAGGCTATGGACCAAACAAAGGCTAAAAAGGCCAAGGAAACTACAGCAAAGCAAAAGGAAAAGGAAGCAACAACTACATGACATGCCACCGATGTGGCAAGCCCGGCCATTGGGCCCAGGACTGCGGAGTGCCTGTCTGGCACATAGGAGGAGAAGAACTACATCCACCAGACCAAGAACAAGCAGATCAGGACAACAGTGAAGAACAGAGAGAGAGAGAGAGAGACCATGTAAACGCGACTTGGTATTCATACATATGTATATACGCCCACAAATGCAGCATTTCTACATACAGAAAGCCATACATTTGCTTAGACCTCGCCATACCAACCGCGGGGGCTCACCTAATGGTGCCCTTCCAACAGCCAGAAAGCTACCCTCGGCGCCTGCCACACGCAAAGGCGCGGCCAAGTCCAAACAAGACAGAATATCTTTCTGGCACCGCTTTTGTTAAACCCCTTCTTGACTCGCAAGAGTCGAAATTTGGGGTTGGAGTCGAAATTTGGCGCTTAGTCCCCCAATGTAGTCTAACACCTTCCTGTCAGCTTCCATTGCGAGGGCACCCGCCATGGTCATTAGTCTCCTTTAAAACCACCCAGTTGCGCTGGGAAACTGCAACCAAATAGTGATCCCATGGATCCGATCACGACAAAGGCCACTCCCTAGTTATGTGCCGCCCATGCGCCGCTGACGCTCTCCTCGCACTCATTCGCCTGGCTCGAGGCGAGTGGGGGCCAAAACCGCCAAAAACCGCCCGGACAATACGGGGAAGCCCGCCGCACCCATTTTGAACACTTTTCTGGGGGGATGTTTGATGCAAAGTCTGGTTGTTTCGTTCACCACTAAGATGGCCATTGTCCAAACCAATGTTGGGCGGCCAGAAGCTCAAGCAAGTCACTGGAATTATGTCCGCTACTTGCGTCAGATCGCACTGCTTTGGAGTGCGCAAATCGCCAAAGGACGTCAAACTGATCAAGGGGGTCCGATGCTTTCCTTCCCAATCTGGCGACCAAGGCTTTGGTTCGATGCGGATGGTTTGGGGGATGTGAACAAACATCCAAACCATCCATTCGCCCCGCCGTGGAATCCATCTTGGCCACCACCACGCCCTTCTTGGCCTGCGAAAATTTGCACGCTCCCCGCTTGATTTTTCTGCCCAGGTGCTCATGCCCAAGAAAACTCGGACGGGGGCCTTGACCTCTAAAATGCCCGTGAGATAAATGTGAGATCTACTCGAATGAGTCTGAGTAGTCTGCCACATTCCCGCAATGGCCATATACCCTCCAAGCCACAAACATGGAAGTTGCCAGGGATCCTCAGCTTGCATCTTCCTCTTGAAGGCACCTTCTACACCCCACCCCCACCCCGTAAGTGGGGCGTGAGAGCAGCAGTTACAGTAGTTGTTCATCTGGTTCCAAACAGGTTTGGGAAGCCTCTCATTGCCGAGCGGCAAAGCCATCCTTCTCCACCTGGCGAGGGGCAGCGCCCCAAGCTCAAATCCGCAACTCTGGCCGTCCGGGACAAATTGTGCCACTTCTTTGGGCACTTCTGAATTCGCTGAGACCCAAATTGGAACAACACTTCACGGGCACGGCTTTTCGGAGAACACCACAGCATGCGGGCTTCGCATGTTTGACCCCCCCCTGCCCCCCAATGTTTCAGACACGCTTGTAACCCCGAAATGACTTGGAACGCTTAACCACGAAATTGGGGCAAGCCCTAACCGCGAAATGGAGCTTTGCCAGGCTAACCCGAATGGGTACGCGCAAACAACCACGAAATTTACATTCAAGCGGTAACTACGCGGGAATTTTGTGGGAATCTTCATGAGTTAAACGGGAGGAGATGGATTTTTTGGGACTTAAGCGGGAATTCAGCTGGAAGCGGGATGATGTGGGAAGAGCGGGAATTATTGAGATTTGGAAGGGAATTTTGAGCGGGAAGCTTGCGGGAATGGAGCGGGGATTTTGCGGGAATTAAGCAGGAATTAAACAGGAATTAGTGGAGAGTTCTGTGGGAATTAAGCCAGAAAGTTGCCAGTTTCTCAAAAAAGACAAAAGAAAAAAGAACCAAGCGGGAATCTCATGACGAGAATTCCGTGGGAATCTTTCGGGAATTGCGGGAATTGAGCAGGGAATCAAGCAAAGAAAGCAGGAATCACTCGTGATTTTTTGTGGAAATCAAAAGGGGCTTGAACAGGAATCAAGCGGCAGATTTGCCGGATTTTTTGCGGGTAAGGGGTCCAAACCCCCCTCGACATTCGCGTCAAAACCTCCGTCAAAACCCCCGTCAGAGAACCCCCGTCGACTCCCTCGCCCCCATCCAAACCCCCGTGGAAACGCGTCCTGACGGGCTTTGACGGGGGTTTCGGGGGCGGGGGGTGGACAGGGGGCGTTGACGCGGGTTTGGCAGAGCGCCCGACGAAGGGACACATGGGGACGGTTCTGGGGGGTGTCGACGGTGGTTTCGACGGGGGAGGGGATGTGGACGCGGTATTGACGGGGGTTTCGACGGGAGTTGTGACGGGGGGTGGACGGTTTCGGACGACGGGGGGGGGGGGTGGACGGAGGTGTTGACGGGAGTTTTGAATGGATTTTGACCCGAATGTCGGCGGGGTGTACGGGGGTGTTGACGGGGGTTTTGACGGGGGATTTGACGCGAGTGTCGAAGGGGTTTCGAGGGTTTTGACGGGAGTTGCGACGGGGGTGGTGGACGGGGGGTGTTGACGGGAGTTTTGACGGGGGTTTCGGGTTTTGGCAGAGCGCCCGACGGGAAGACGGATGGGGACGGAGTGCCCGACAGGGGTTCCGGGGGGCGTTGACGGGGTTTACTGGACGGAGTTTTGACGCGAATGTCGACGGGGGTTTCGACGGGGGTTTTGACGGGAGTTGCGACGGGGGTGTTGATGGGGGTTTCGACGGGGGTTTCGACGGGAGTTGTGACGGCGGGGTGGACGGGGTGTTGACGGAGGTTTCGACGGGGGATTTGACGCGAGTGTCGACGGGGTTTCGACGGGGGTCTTGACGGGAGTTGTGACGGGGGCGGTGGACGGGCGGTGTTGACGGGGGTTTTGACAGGGGTTTCGGGGCGGGGGGTGGACAGGGCGGTGATGATTGGTGACCTGCAGAGGAATCTGATGATTTGATGATTTCGTGATTTCGTGGGCTGTTTCCAACATTTCTATTCAGACCCTTTCGGGGTTAGGAGTCTTCTGTTTCAAGGCTAAGGAAAATTGTTTTTCGGGGTGAGGGTCTGTGCCCAATGCTTCGCACGCGGGCCTTCTTGGCCAGCTCCGACCAAACCGGGGAGAGTTTTTGGCCTCGGGGATCCCACAAAAAACCTGCCTACGGTGAGCTCGTGAGAGAAAGGGCAAAAGAGCTCGTCTTTGGACACGGGACCAGAACGAGAATCATGGGGAGCGTCTCATGGGGAGTGTCAGCTTGCTCAATTTTGATCCAAAATGTGTAAACCCCTTGGCTCACATGGGGACGTCCGGATGTTCCATGTATATAGGGACAAAACGTCAGTTTGGGGGGAAACGCATAACCTGATCCGCCCAGACTGATCCACTAGTAGGAATTAACCTTCCAACGTCCTTGACAGAATTGTTCCCATTCGACCCTGTCAAGGGTAGCGAGTCGGCCCCTGGAGGAGAAGCTAAGGAGGTTTCTCAAAGAAGGAGTCCAAATTGCGACGGTTTCCCCAAAGGCCTCTCTTTCAATACCAAACTGAAGGGGGTCCACCCGTTTGAGAAATTCCCACAACAACTAACGCACGGCTCTCCGCGGCTCAACCCAAGCACCCGGCAGTGGCCGCACCAAGGCGCGTAAAACTCCACCTCACGTTCGGCCCAATCACCAGCCACGCAAGCCCAAATGCTCCTTTGCGTTGAACAAAGGCTCGCCTGCAATGGCATGGACATGGACCGAAGCTGCACAACGCCTTTTGGGTGGCGGCAATGCCCCTTTTTGGTGGTGTTAAACGGAAGCCAAGAGGGAACCACAATTAGGGGTCCAGGACACCCCCCCCCACAAGAAAAAGCTTGTTCAACTTGAAAGGTCTCCTTGAGGTAGCCGCCCCAAAACCCAAAACAAGAACTGTCGGATTGAATGGTCTTCCAGGGTCCTCAGGTGCCATGCTTTTTGCAGTGCATAAACACGTAGGTCAACTTTGCCTGTGTTGTTCCAAATGCGGGGATCCCTTGGGACACCGCTACAATGAGCGAAGCCTTTATCATCTGGTGTAAGGACCAAGGATAGGTTTCGCACAACCCGGCGAAACTCGGGAACCCACCTAAACTGGCATGGAACTTCCTTTGGATTCCCTGCAAGCCACTCCAACCAAGGATGCCAACCCGGAGCCAACGCCCTTCCGCCCGTTGCCATCCGAGAGGCGAAGACGTCCTTCTTGGGGTCCATGGCAATCTGCTCAAAGGTTTCGCCTGCCATGGTCGACGTGGCTCTGTGAGAAACCTGTGAGGTGGGTGATGACCATCCAAGGATTGATAACCATGTGGCCGCGCAAATTGTTGCCGTGTAACTCACCAACCGAAAATAGATGGTGGATCCCTTTTGTTGGCAACCTTCTTGTTGTCGCAAACCCCCGGTTGGAGTTGCTTGCTTTTGCCCAGAAACTTAGAGGCTGATGACAAGTCAACTTCTCAAAATTACCTCCCCAAGGGCGCGTTGACCATCCCAAACCCAAGAAAACTCAAGAACATCCTTCATCTTTCGAATAGCAATCTCTGCCGAGGCGCCAGTGAGCACAGTGACCCCGTCTTCCACCACCTGGCACGGGGCTGGCGGGTGAAGCTGAAGACCCAGCACCCAGCCTGACTCAAATGATTTTTGGTTCGTGTCGGATGCTACGCAAAATGAGCACCACTTGGATCACAAGCCACCCGAGCCCTTTTATCGGAGCCCGGATTCAACCAAGGGGTCCCCTGAGCTCGGAGTCTCGGATCTTGGCAGGCCGTCAATTTCAGGAACAGCGCCTATCCTGATGGGCAGCAATGTGTTGAGCCTTTCTGCCTTTTTGGAGATGTTTGAATTGCAACCAAATGGCATAGCCCTCCATTGTCACGTTTCCTGCAATGATTGGCAGGGTTGGGCCAAGAAAAATATTGTTGAAATATGCTGAAACACTTACGTTCAAACAACCTCCTCTTGTTCAAGCAACCTCCTCTTGTTTCAAACAACCTCCTCTTGTTCAAACAGCCTTTCTTTCTTTTCCCTTCGCAGCCTCTACAGTGAAAGGGGACGCGGATGCTCAAACTCATACAGAGCCCGAGCCTGCGCCGGTGGCGGCGCGCTCTTGTAGTACCTAAGGGCGGGCAAGCCTACCAGGACCCACCAACCAGTGGCCGACAGCACAGGTTGTGGTTTGGAATTGGTTTGGGCCCGGCTTGTGTTACAGTTTTGTGCCTGTTCTCTTTTTTTAACGCTCGGCATCTAGATTAACAAAAAACCAGACAAGCAATGAAAGTGCTTAAGAAAACCCGTCAACGGGTTTGGGGTCAGCTTGTTGGTTTCAAGCCACCCATCTGCCGGGGCGCGGCTTCGCCTTCTTGGCCAAGACGTCCGCCAGTAGTTTCTTCACCGCCTCTGGCGTGAGATCGTCCTGCGTGTGTGCAGCTGCTTGTGCGCGAACATGGTTGCAGAACCAAATGTCGAAGCGTTGGCTAATGCCATGCAATGAACGAACACCCAAGGAATGTGCTGTGACAACCTTGCCAAAGGTACACCAGCGCAGGGTGAGTTGTCAAAACAGTTTTAAGAAAGTTTGCCTAAAGTTCAACATGAGTTTGCGCATCTGCTGGGTCCTGCAGCACGTACCTCTTCTCCCCGTGTAGCACCGTGATCTGAGATGCGCCCTTGGGTCACCCAACGCTTGCTGCAAGATCTGTCGCCGTGCTCCGGCTTTAAGCACATTGAAAACACATACAAACGAACGGACGGACGGACGTCAAACATGGACAGGCGGCTCCCTTTGCAGGGTCCCATGCTGGCTTGCCGCGGAGCAATTGGACATTACTATTCAGGTGTTCCGGGTAAAATCCAAATTTAGATGGTCGAAATGTCAGGAGTGGCAATTTGTTTGACATAAGTCCCTCGTTCCCAAAGATTGATTGCCAGACTTGTCAGATGTGTTTGTGATCTGTGTGTGTGGTGTGCGTGTTTGATTGTTTGTTTGTTTGTCTGTCTGTCTGTCTGTCTCTCTGTCTCTCTGTCTCTCTGTCTCTCTGTCTCATGCTTCTTCCTGTTCACTTCCTACGTACGTCTTGTCTGCCACAAAAAATCCAGATCCAAAAAAACATCATGAACTCAGGGATTGAGGGGTCCATCAACGCCACACTCTCCAAATTACCCTCTTTTTTGTGCTCAAGTTGCACTACCATTCCCTGTAAGGCCCCCGGCACCCTTGTCGGCCACCGCCTCCGCAGCATCCAGTGACTTCCGCAGCACTGCAGTGCAGCGCCACTGCCTCAGACTCAACACCATCCAATCCCCTGGCTGGCGGTATAGGTTGAGACTTAGATAAGTGTGGGTTTTTGCAAGAGGCTTCCACGGCTCTCAGCAGGTTAATTGCATATACAGCCAGACCAGCAAGTTCTGCCAACCCTAGTTTTCTAAACATTCACCCTGCGACCTGGTTGTCGCACCATCTGCAACTGCGCTTCTTGAAAAGCAAAAACTCCTCTTTGTTTCAGTGGCTGCCGTCTTCACACAACACACGCTGCTGCTGCCATTTGCTGTGGGTGGCAGTTGTTTGCCACAGCCTAGACGTTGGATTCCTGCGCATACGCTGGGACGTGCTTCTCCGGAAGACTGCCGCGTAGGCAGCAGGTAGTCTCCGAGAGCCCATGTCGGCAAGCCAGGAGGAGAGAGTTTTGGATTTGAAGGTTGGTGTGTCTCTGCCAGGCCCGTGCGCCCATGTCCGGTCGCTGGTTGTCCTCCGGCGGCTGCGCGCGTGTCCGGCCAGTCGGAGCAGCTGCCACACGCCCTCCCGCAAGGAGCTGGCAGTGCTGTCCAGTGCTTCCGTAAGGGCTGCGCCTTGGACTTCACCTCGCTGACGCCGAAGCAGTAGCAGATCTCGCTCGCTCATGCTGGCGCCCTTGTCGATCTTTGCGGGCGCGCTGGTGTGCGTGTGTGTGTGTGTGCGCTTGGGAGCGCGCGCGCACGAGAGTGCACGGGAGCACACTTGCGTGAGAGAGAGTGAGAGAGAGAGAAAGAAAGAAAGAAAGAAAGAAAGAAAGAAAGAATGAAAAAAGGAAAAAGGAACAAAAGAACCAAAGAACCAAAGAACCAAAGAACCAAAGAAAACAAAAGAAAGCGAGCTTTCATTCCTGCCTTCCTTCCTTTCCTTGCTCCCTTCCTTCCCTTCTTGCCTTCCTTTCTCTTTCTCTTTCTCTTTCTCTTTCTCTTCCTCTCGTCGTGTCTCTTTTCTCCTTCTCTGTCTCTTGCCGTGTCTCTTTTCCCATGAAACTTCCATTTTTTTCGTTGTTGCCTGCCCCTCCCAGCCCGTTTCCAGCCATCCTCGTTGTCAGCGGGCCTTCTCTCTCTCTCAAGCAGCGCGTTACCCAAAAAACGACGTAACAACGCGCGGCGGCCTGAAACAGCACGCGCGTAGGCACGCGATGCAGCCACCGGGGTTGCCGCTTCTTCGCCTTGACCCCGCCGCCTAAGGAAGGTCAGATGAAGCAAGCCCTGAACTCGCCGAGCTGGGCATCTTGAGACTGCGAGATTCCGTTTGGTGTTGCAGACAGAGACGGTGAGCGTTCTGTTTTTGCACTGGAACTCAACTTGATGAGCCTCCAACAAGTAAGGCATCGAACTAGCCATGGCGTAGCGCGGCCGGCTGCAACGCTAAGCCACACATCTGGAGTGAGCTACATGTAAGTGCATCTGTGCCTGACCTTGCGAAAGTGCTGCTCTTGCCACGAAATCTGCACGCGCCAGCGCACGCGTTCGCGCCAATGGCATTTGCAACACGTCCGCGCCAGAATCGCACAAACGCCACACCTGCCATCAAATCTATAATTGACCTTGCGAAGTGCTGCGCCTGTCACGAAATGTACACATCGGGCTGCCAAAGTGCTGCGCCGGCCACGAAATCTGAACACCAAATCTGCGAAAAGTTGCGCACGTCCATGCCAATGGTCCGGGTCCCCCAATTCCAAGACCGTTCCGACCCCGTTCCGTCCGTCAAGCGTCGATTAGCGTCCGCAACACCGAAGTTTCTTCAGGAACCCAGTTTAAAAGGGAAACACACAACAAAGAACTGTCTGAAATCAATGGTAGTTGGCTTGAAGCCAGTTTTGCTTGCCCCTTTGCGGCTTATGCTCAAACAAGTGGCCCAACCCCACGTCTCTGACCCTCTGCCGGGCCACGGCTCAGCCGCCGCCACCTGCACAAGCAAAAGTCTAGGGTGAGCCGTGGGTTGATGTTGAGTAAAAGCGGGGGTCTCATCTAAGAGGGTATCCGGATGATTGTTGGGGAAAACACCTGTGCGGGTCTATCTTGCGACCGCCTTCGTTTCGGGAATTGATTTTGGGGTTCCTGGTTGCACTAAGTGTCCCGTGGCATGGGGGCTTGGCTTCCCCGAAAGACAGCGGGCCCGGGGACAAATTTCCCTGCATATTCAGCCCGATCCCAAGCAGAGGTTCCTCTGCAAATGGGTGCTTTTGTTCCTGGGCCCTCGGTACAAAGGGTTAGGAGAAACGACATGTCCGTTCATCTCTGATGTCACTCCCTTTGTCCACATGTCGGTTCCATTCAAGATTACATGGTATGAAGATATTTGTCTCATATTGTTTCATTCATTATCTCTTTCTACCTTCTATCTTCTATAAAAATATTTTACTAATATATAACTGTTGGTCTTTTATTTTGTACCTTTAGTGAGGCCTATATACACCTTCACTACCGTACTGTTGTTTTTTGTTTGGGGGGAGGGTGTCCCAGAAAGCACGCCGTTAGGCGCGAGGTTTCTTGCGCATGAGAGCAGAGGCTGTGCTTGCAGCTGAAAACAATGCAGCGCGGTGCATGTAAGCCGCGCCTTGTGAAGCGTCGCGGCGAGAGCCTTGCCAGCCTCCTCATCCTCGAAGATGCCCACAACAGAACCTCGCGCTGCCCACTTTCCGGTCGCTTGAAGAATGGTCCCCCTCAACACTTAATAGTGGTTTTGGACCTTTCAAAACCCTCCAAACAGAAAGGATCAAAAAAAGGCAAAGGGTGACACTGAACAAACTGGGCAACAGATCAGGAAAGAGACCCTGCCAGCTTCCAAGGTTGTTAGAGGAAAGGTGCAGGTGACTCCGTCACTTCACCTGACTGCTCTTACCAACCACCCCTCCCCCCAAACGCCCGATCCCCAGTTCTGAAACATTGTGTCTTCACGGGGGCGTGCGGGTGTGGCGGGAAGGAGTGTTTTTGAGAGTCCTGTGCAGCGGGGGGGGGGAAGGGGCGTGGTATCATGATGGAAGTCCGATTATCCCCCCGTTTGAGTCACAGGACATTTGAGAGCGAGACCAAATCATGCTTGAGGCAAACGCAGCCCTATTCATCCACCAAGTTGGGTCGACATTGTTCGCAGGTCAAAGCAGCCCGAAGCAATCGTGCCCAAACAACCGAAACAGCAAGCTTTGTCTGGGTCACCCAACTTCTCTCGCTGAGTGAGCAAAATACAGCAGCTTGGACGCAGCGGGACATGCAAAGTAGTCTTCCAAAACCGCCCAGCCTTTGGCCCCAACAGCGCCCACTGCCTGGCGACGGGCCAAAAAGGGGCAAAACCGGCGTCAATCACCAGTGGGCAGTTGACAAATCCAGGCACAAATCTTTAACCTTTCTGGGACACACCTAACCAGATGACGCTGCTGTCTGGACTGGCTATTGAGGATACTCACACTGGTCAATTGAGCCCTCCCGCCCTGCATTTCTGTTGGGTTCAGCTTCCCGAGATACTTTTGCTTGGCCGCCAAGATTCTTCCAAACACCGAGCTTTTGACTTCAGGCTTGGCCATGCCGGGATCCGCCAAAATAACACCCGGAAAACAAGACGCAATCAGCTGGTCAAAAAAGTGCCAACTCGCTTTTGTCGGCGCCAAGTCTTCTCTCTCTCTCTCTCTCTCTCTGTCTCTCTCTCTCTCTCCTACTTGCCTGTTCATCGCCCTGGGTGCTTCTTCAGTCCTGTCATTAATATCTATACTGCCTATACGTCGGCCCCCCTCCAAAGTTTTCCCCTTTGAGGAGTGCCCTGTGTCAGTGTGCTTGCCAAAGAATTCAACTCTCAGGAGGTCCCAACCAAAAGTGAACAACATCGCGACATGGACGACACACGACTGTGGAACTGGTAAACTACATTACCACACCCTCCCAGTTTTGTGGAACCTCGAACTACAGCGCCGCCGCCTGCCGCGCCGCCTGCAGATTTTTTTGAATGGGGTGGTCTAGCCCGCGTTTCTCGCCTCCGCGCCGTACTTCTCGAGCTTGAACTCGCTGCCCACGGCGCCGTAGGTGCTCTGCTTGACCCACTTGCTGATGCCGCCATCCGTCCAGGGCCCAGAGAAATCCTCGTTGCAAGGGACGCCTTCCGCGAGGCTCGCGCGGCCTGACCATTTGAAGTCTCCGTTTTGCAACAACCATGGAAGTGGACAGGCTTCTTTCCCCAAAAGGAAAGCAGTCTTCCAAAATATGTCTGTCAGCTTCTGTGATTGAGAAAACCCCTGAAAAATGCCCCTGACAAGCATATAGAACGCTCCCCTCCCGTTTCAAATTCTTTGAAAGCCATGAGCCACACCACGTAGTCTCAACATGAGCCATGGCCAGACTATACGTCAGCGAGTCCCTGGCTTTTTGCGGCATCGTTCATGGTTCCTTTTCGCATTGGCTTCGAGGAAAACCACCCGGAAGACCACCACCCCGCCGTTTTCTGGGGGGTCCAAATCCCTCTGTTGCCACAGACCCATTTTGAGGCCCATCGCGCAGGTGCCCGGCTCGGCAACCGCTGCCGGGTGGCCAACTTCTTTGGATCTGGATCGCTCATGCCGGGACCTCAGAGGTCGCTGGGCAGCTCCGATTCCCCAAAACCGGACATTCTGAGGGACCCTGGGCACTAGCCTCGGCTGTCCCCCCCATGTGTCCTGGGGGAAGCGGACAGCTTTTGAAGGACCTTGCTCAGCACAGGTTGGACCTGTGTTCTTTTAGGGCTCCGCAAATTTGGGGTTCCACACAAGTATGCAGCGAGCTCTACTAACACTAACCAGCCCCCCCATAGAAACCAGGTAGTAGAACCAAGCACCTCCTGAAATGGCCCTGGGTTGTGGGTCGCTTGGGCCGGCACGGGACATCGCCATGCGCGCGTCCTTCTTGGGGTCTGCAGTCTTTGGCAGCCACACCGCGGCAAACCTGCGGCTCGAAGGATGCGGCGCCGGTGGCTCGACGCTTTGAACAAACCCCACGAGTGTCAGCATGGGGTCTGTGGATGGGTATCCTTGAGATGCGACAACCTTGCCGGATACTGACCTTCCCGTCCAAGTCGGAGGTTCCGGATTTTTTGCGGGAGAAGCCTTTTGCCGTTGGTCGGTTGAAAGGGGAGGCCTCAAAAAAAAACATTTTGCTGCTTGCCCCGAAACCTCGACCTCAGATACCGCATGGCGTGCCACACCTCAGCTTGGAGGCCTTGTAATCCGCCAGGGCCTCCGCGGACTTGAAAAAGGCCTGCACACAGCCCGGGCCCTCGCCCAGGTGGTTCGACCAAATGGGTGGCTCGCATTTTTTGAGGCTCGGCACCCGATTGCTGAAATGGTTTTCAATGGAAGCCAAAGGGAAAGCGACCTCTCTTTCTTTCTTTTTTTGGGGGGGAAGGTCTTTTATTGAGACATCGCCAAACGACAACCCACTTCAAGTGGCCCCGATGATGCTTGGAAACCGCCGATTGGGAAAATATGGGCAACTCGGTTAGGAAGTGAATCTGCTCAAACTTACCTTCTGAATTGTAGAATTGTGACTTGCTGGGAACCAATCCAACGGAATGCTTGAGAACCCCTTAAAAATGTTCGCTGTACTGAACCCAGCAGAAGAGACCCCTAATGGTAGGCTTCCCCCTATGGCCAACAGCAAGCGCAAAGGCCTTTGCGCGAGCAGACTTCTGCTTCAAGTGCGCCACGACGGCCTCAGCTCGGTTCGGCCAAACAACAAGAGGCTCCCCTTTTGTAAGACATCCTCAAAAGGCCATCAAAGTGACATCCTTGGCAACATCCTTCTTGACTTTGACATTCTTCCGTCCCACTGGTTGGTTCCTGCAGGGCGCTCTCGAAGCTACACTCTTTTCGTGGAGGATGAAAGGGAAACAACCTCCCGCCACCTGGAAAAATCACGTCCGGTTTCGATCTCTGTGAGTCCTCCCCAAGAGGGCATTTGTTGGGCGGGCGGCATGTTTGGGGTGTTAAAAGTTTGCAAGAGCCCACAAAGTGGTAAAGCGTTTTGGCAAGTTCTTCAAACATTTACCCTTCCAACATAGCACCTGTGTATGTCTGTTTCCTCGTAAAGACAGGTGCGATGTTATTCGGAGGGCCCTTCTTGCCCCTTTTTGCATTCTATTTGAAGGACACGCGGGAGTTGGTCCTTCCAATCCCGCCCGTTTTCCCTCCCCCTCCGAGACTCCGAGCGAAGGAATTGGCACCCAATGCCTTCTCCACGAACGCCTGGCTGTGGCTTCCCCTTTTTGGAGAGGCCCTTTTAGAGCCTTTGACACAGAAATCGCAAGGAAACTGTGGCTCCCCTCCCAGAGACAACCCCATTCCATTCATTGCAAAATAACACAAACCTAAAAGAGCTTCCTCTAGAAATGATGGCTTTGGGACTCCATGTTGGTCAGGAAGGTACTTTGACTGGTTGGCTACAAGGGTCTAAATCCATTTTTCGGAGAACTCCTCACTTTCTGAAGCCAACGGGCGGACCTGGGAATCCAACAAGTTTTGAGTCGAACGCCTCCGCCTCCGACTCCGCGATCTCCTCCACCGCCGGCTTCTCGCGCTTCCCTCGGGTTTTTGGCGCACGCGCGGAGCGCTTCAGGTCCCCCCCCCCCGGAACCACAAGGGGCTTTGGTTGAGGCTTCCTGTCTCTGCTGAAAGGCTGGTGGGTTCATGGGTGAGGTCGAAGAATCGGGTGAGAAAAAATCTAGGCGGCTTAGAGTTGCACGCCCCTGGCAGACAAAAAAGAAACAAAAACACTTCATAGGGATTCGCCTGCGAGCTGACGGGCCCTGACGATGCACCGGCCAAACCATCACAAAAGCACATACAAAATATGCTCTTTCATTCCGTCTAACACGCTCCTCCCACCAGAACGGGTTTTGTGCAGCTCCATGCTTGTCGATGGCATGATGCTGTCCAAATTTTCTTCAAGACGGGGCAGGTTTGATGCCACATAAAAGACCAGGCGCCTATAGGCGGAAAATGCTCCCAATCAGAAACCTCCAGTTGGGTTCCATGGTTTGGGGCTGCATCATGTTCGGTCTGGCTCTTCCAGGCCATTAGCCCGAGCCCTGGCTGGGTCAGGGCTTACTTTCGGCGTTTCGTACGTGGTTGAACCTTTCCTGGCACCTTTTGTCGCTGCTTCCAGCCACTTCTCAAAAGCACCACAATTTCTTCGAGCGGCTGAGCCACTCGGCAATGCCGTCCGCCTTGCGCGGGCCGTCGTACTCGATGGGGTCGCCTGACAAAACCACTGGGAAACAAGAGACACTGCTGGGTGTGAAAGAAGCATCTGGCAGAGCTGTCACAAAGGAGGGTCGTGCATGCTTCATCATCTATAACCCCTAATTTTTTTAAACAGAAAGCACTGGCAACCAGAAAGGTTCGTTCCAGCACCTGGCCAAATCTGCAGAACACCTGGGTGCTTCCCAAAACGGCGGGGGTGGGGGGGGTGGGGGGGGTGGGGCTTTTGACCTGGGTGTTTCCATTTTTGTTGGCGGGAGCGCCAGAACGAAACCAAGCACCCAACTCCCATTTGAGCCAAACCCAGCCGCCCACGGTTGGCTAAAGCGACCTCCGTTCAGGATGTACTTCAAGGTGGGGTACGACTTCACCTGCGCGGCGCTTCGGAACACTTCCAAAAGGAGACTCCATGAACAAGGTGCTGTAGCCACGAAGGAGGAGACACAATCTGAGCCCTGAAGAACCCCAACACAAATATTAAAACCCTTCAACCCCCTGAAAACCCCTGAACACCCTTCAAAGGTGCATGCCACAGTGTAGCCACAAGCATATTGAATTTCCACAATTCACCCATTCCACTCTCCTCGATCATATGGCTGTGGGTAAAATGCGTACCCAAAATGGAAAACCCTGATAAATGGAACCAAAGACTAAAACATGCGGTCTCCTGGTGATCCTGGCGGTTTAGTTTTGACCCATACCCATATCTCAAGGCAACCCCCCATCCCCATCCCCATCCAACGAAGCGCCTCGAAGCGCTCCGCCAACCCCGGCTCTGCGGTGGCGTCCACCTGGCATGGGAACCCCATCGAGGGGAAAAAACAATCGGCGGGCGTCCCATGGAAAACCGTACGCGGGAGACCTCATGGGAAACCCCATGGAACATGGGTTCCGTCATAGTTTCCATGGGCTCCCCCCGCAAAAAAAATGAAAATATAAAGGAAAAATGCGGGGCAAGTTGGACGCTGGGCTTGGCGATTGCAAGGCAAGCCACGGGAAGCGACTTTTACCAAAAGAAACACACAGTTCTCCTTTTGGCAACCATCTTCCCTTGGGAGACATTTCGATTCCGCCCCTAAAGTGGGGTCCTAATGACAGGGCGGATGTCTCTCGATGTACTTTTGGGTTGCCGCCTCGAGCGCGAAGGTAAACAGAAACGAACTGACCGGTTGCAAAAGTGATGGCTCTTTCCCGCACCACGCAAAGGGAAACCAGCCATTTTTCAGGAGCAACAATCCAAGTTGGACCACCGGAACAGCCCCCAGCAAAGACGGGGACGGGGTGGAGACTTGAAGGGGGGCTGCTCGGGGAGGATGAGTCCGCAAGGTGATGCCCTCTTAGCCGCACGCTAATGCAAAGCTGCCGGATGTGGAAAGGAACCACAGTGTCACCGGGAATCGCATGTCCATTGCGTTTGCAAGTAAGCCACTAAGTATTATGTCCATCTCTCTGGCTCTCTTTCCCACTCCCTCGAGCTATCCCTCACTTCGCCAGGAACTCAGACATTTCTCAAATGCCGGATGTATCGATCCGGATTCCTGGCCCTGCCTTGGCAAGCACAGACTTGGCCCCCTCCATGCCTCGGAAGCGGGCGCAAGCTCGAACAGGCCCGAGGGAACGTATCAAAAAAAGCGGGATCGGCACCTCCTGCATCCCACATGCTTTGGGAAACCAGCCAATCAGTAGGTGGGGTGAATGGCACACAGCCCCCTTCCAGCGCCCCCAAAGAGTGTGCCGCCCGCTTCCGGCAAGGCGCGGAGCGCATCGGCCGCCTGGTTGTACTCGGGCTCCAGCTGCTGGCAGTGCCCACACCACGGCCTCAGCACTGCCAAGCTCGCAACCACCCCCCCCCAACTCAGCTTCCCCCTCCCCCCCAAATATGTTTGAGTCCGGCCCACAAAGTACAAAATGATATCAGAAGAGATGTGGGTCTGAGAGGGGCCGGAGGCATTGATGCTTGAATCAACCATTTGCCAACATAAAGGGGCACCGTGTCACCAACTGTTGTGCTCTTGCCACCCTCAGGTACAAGCCTTCTTGAGTTGTTCTTTTCCTCTTGTTTGAAGAGCCATTTGTATGAGAATCATTTTCATGGGGGCGATGGGAAGTAAAACCAGCCTGCTGGGAGTTGGTACCCGTGCGTGGGAGTACGTCAAAGGAAACGCGAGGGAAACAACCCGAAGCAATTGGGATGGGTCCCCTATTTCTGGCATACTTCTTGCAGTGTGAAAGAAGCCTAATGTTCTGGCCATCCCCACCACACCCAAGAAATTGTGCATTGCGACCACGCACTTGGAGACAACTCCATTTCCATGCCCGTGCGGGCAAATAAAACGACAAAAAGAAGATGTTCCGAGCCACAAATAAGGGGACCCTCGCTAGAGTCACAATTTGCCCAAATTTTCCTGGAGCCTTCAAGGGGTGCAGCTCAAGTTAACCCACTATATTCTCAAAGGTAAGATCAGGGGCGAAACAACGAAACTCCTTACCCCCCTGTACTCCTGACTGGAATTCCTTTTTTAGAGTATCGCAAGCCCCCATTCGAATTACTTCGCCCCTTATACTGCTTTTGAAGATGTCACTTTGGGAGCTGCTCAAAACGGTGAACCCCTGCTGCTTCTGGTTGAGGCATTTAAAGGGGAAAACGGCAGAGGGAAGCCCTCGGCATTTTTGTAGGGTGCCATAGGGTGCCCTTTCAAGGACACCGCCCCCACGGCGCGGTCCCGGCGCAGTCTCGTTTGGCTCGAGAGGCGCGTAGAACTCCACGAGCACGCGCTCGTGGCTCTTCACGAAGTCGTCGAACGTGCCTCGGCCGCGTTCGGTTCGAGCGCGCTCGCTGGGAAGCCACGCTGCGAAACCACCGCGCCCGCCAATTGGGGGAACCCCAAAAATGGCGGGGTCCGAAGAAACCGCCAAATCAGTTGGTATTTGACGAGTGCGGGCTTGATTTACGCGGGAAGGATACATAAACCACCTGCTTTACAAGAAACCGGATGCTACATCAGTTGGTAGTACTTGGGTGGTTTGTTATCAGCTGGCCGACATGTATCCTTGAAGGGACCCTGCGGGACGCCAAATGCCAGGAGAGCGTCTTCAAACTAGGGGGACTGGGTGCGGAAATAGGGTGGAGAAACTGGGTTTCTGGAACGGACAACCTACAAACAATTGAAATGGTTGCAGTGTTGGCAGTTCATAAATTGGATGTGGACTCACTTTGTGGGTGTTCCTTTTGAGTTGTTCCAATATTACAGCAAGGTTTACCACCACGAACGACGCTATATTGGCAACCTTTTGCACACCCTCCCAGGTGAACGCTTTGCGGGTTTCAAAACTTGCTGCTCCTCTGGTTAGGTGGGAAGGTGCCGTCTTTCCAAAAACGGAAGTAGAACAGGGGCTTCCCAAAAGGTCGGGGGCCCCGACAACTTGAAAGTTCATTTGAGGATGTCACTATGGACTCGGACCAAGGTACCGTCTTTCAGAACGTGGACGGATTCTGGGAAGTCTTCTTCATCCTCGTCCTGCGAAGGCCATCCGCAGTCACATCAACCTTGTTACGAGTTGGCAACCCTTTCAACTGCCGCCCTGTCGACTACATGGCACTAAGTCACTAGACCAATTTGATGCCCATATGTAAGAATGATGAAACCTAAATGGGGGAGGTAGTCACCTTCCCTCACCCAACTGAAACTGCCTGTTGAACGACAATGGATGACGTTGACGCGATGGACCAAATAGCTCGGCGATTCCAGACAAACTCCGGAGCCAGCCTACCATTGGTTTAGAGTTGGAACGCATAACTAAGGCCTGATTGCAAAACATATGCCTGCATGGGTTTGTGCGTAAGCGTAGTAAATGTAACAATGTAGAGGTCGAAGTTTCGGTGTGTCAACGATATGCGTTTGCATATGGTCTTAAACATACGCGCACATGCATATCCTGTGGAACATGCATGTAGGTGTATGTAATGTGCTTATCCGGCTGTCTTCCTGTGTTCAGTCACCTGCGAAGCTACTCCGTCCCTTCTCAGGGGCAACAGCTGCACACTGTTCCAGGTGCCGCACCGCAGCGAGGCGTTTTTTTGCTTTGCACTTCGCGCCTCGTCCTCCGCATCTGCGTCCTGCAAAAATCCCGAGCAAGACGGGCTAGACCCACTCCTTTGCCTGTGTCAAACTGGCATAGCACAGTTCCTCACAAACACCCGGGGCTGCTATGCCAAGGGAAACTCCTCACCAAACTGGCGCCATGTCATAGGCCCCCCCGCCCGGTGGCTGTCTGCGTTTGTTTTGAAAAATCAGCCCTCAACAGCAACACATCAGGCCCGCCCATGGAGGTTTGAATTCGATGCGTCGCGCGCCTCCGCTCGGACGGTGACTCCCCAGAGCAGACCTCAGGCGAGCCCACAGAAGCCGACGGCCGAGGGAAAAATAAAAAATAAAATAAAATAAGGCAGGAAGTTCAAACAACGCGCCCCCTGCAAATTAATTAACATGGGACCTGACCCAACTTGAGAAGGAAACACAAAAGGTAGCAAGCCGCCACAGGCCGCCGCAGCTGTGATGCGGGGATTATGGCGCGCCGGACGCCATCTTGGGAATTGAGGCTGCAGATATTGGCAGGACCAAGCAAGAAGGGGGGTAAAGAATGGTGGAACGTCTTGAGGGAGTTGCAGTACAGGTCGTAAATGATATATCCCCCCAGTTTTGTGTGTGTGTGTAGGATTTGGTGGGATTTGTTGTCAGCGGGATCCTTCCGTGGACATCGCTTGAGTGACATGAACCACGTTCAAGAGGGGTCCCTATTCATAGGAGGTTGTCAAAACATTGTGTTGATTTTGATGAGGTCGTCGCACAAACCCAACCGAAACAGCTGCAGCTATGAACTCCCTGCCGAATGCGGGGGCGGGCTCGAACCATTTTTCAGGCATTGCTAACGCAAGGAACCCGGCTCAAATTTGGACCTCGAAAGAAAGGAGCAAAATGAAAGTACCAGGAAACCAGGAACCAACAAATGTTTGATTCCTCTGGGGCTGGTGGTTGTTGGGGTTCAACGTTCATCTGCACAAGGAAGTACCAGGGATCAATTGGGTGTGTATGTTGAGGGTGCCCATTTCTGGTCTGTTTGTATAAGGTAAGCCAAAAGGAGACCATTCTGAGACAGACCAACCTGCCCTTTTCGCAGGAAGCCGAGGCAACCCATCCGAGGATCTGGCCCAAGAAGAGGAGCAAATTCCAGCGCAAAGCTGCCTCGGGCGACGCGCTCACATATCCCCCCCGGTTTGGGCAGCTTAAAGCTCACTGGGTTGGTGTCCATTGGATGTCCCTTTTGTTTGGCTAAACCAAAGGATCCGGATCTTGATTTGGGCCCGATTGAAAGGGAAAAACTACTCAGCTCAGGAGCATATTGAACAGCTGCCAACCACAAAGCCACCCAACTTGGATCATAGCTGCTGTGTCCGTGGGGAAAAGAAGTGAGCTCAGTTTCCTTATGTAGTCCTCTGCACAGACCTTGCAGGAAGACCAAATTTGTTTGCCAATCCTGGAGGGTAGTCTTAAATGTCCATCTGCACGCTTGGCTTGCGAAAAATGAGTGATACCTATTGTCAGTCATGAGTCATGACCTTTCCCTTGAAAAATGAGTGATACGTATGTGTCAGTCACCTTTCCCTTGAAAACCCCTCAGGAAAGGTAACCTCATCACCTGCAAACTGACGTGAGCATGGGCTAAAAGTGCCTGCGCCCATGGACTGGCTGCAGTCACGCCATGAGCAAACACCACCACGTAAGGCTTCGGCGGTTGAAAACCCTGGTGCCATGAACTCACTGGCTGAGTGGATGGCCCAACAAAAGTCCAAACTTCATATTTACCACTAAACTGTTCTTCCCAAAAAAATTAAAGTTTATGAACTCAGGAAGTGAGTGAAAGTACAAAAATCTACAAGTGGGCCTTGTGGTCAATGTTCGGTTCCTTGCCCATTGCTGAAACCCAGATCGGTCGCACCGAAAGCTCATGTGTGCTCCACACAGGCCTGATATTGAATATGGGACGGCGTGGCTTCCGTTCAAACATTTCAGATCAGCAGAGATGTTTGTATCTCTTTGGTCCATGATAATCTCAGGAGGGTAGCATCACTTGCCGGACTCATAGGCAATAGCGCAACAAAGCCTCCTTTGGCTTTCCAACAAGGTGACCCCAAAAAGGAAACTCACCGGCAGCTGGAGCCCCGCATCAGGATTTTGGCGCATCAACACCCCCCCCCCCCTGGGTGTCCCGGCCATGTCGGCGCTACGCCCGGAGTGCCCCGCCCAAAACTGCTAACAAACGCCGTCCCAAACGTGCAAAAACGGACGGGCGCGCAGCCGACGTTGAGGGGAGTTGGGACGTGTTGTGGCACGGAGAAACGTGTGGACACTCAGGACGTATGTTCAAGCCTAGTGTGAGTTGGTACACTTTTGGGCAGTTGCTTTGGAGGAATGGAAGGGGACCCATATCATTAAGACAAACCTGTTCGGATGACAACCGCGTCCCTTTCCGGGTTGGGATTCGGGTCAGATTCTTGTCTGTTCTTTTGGGTTGCGCAAGGGTTGACCCAATAATAAACGAAACAGTTGATTCACACCAGGGGGGTGTCCTGTTCTAAAGGGAAGCCCGATCAGGGGAGTCGACATTGCCTACATTTCCTCCACTTCACCGGAGAACGGATATTATAACTTCTGCCGTTTTCGGGCGCAAGTCAACAACTGGTCAAGCCGAAATCTACTTCCACAAATGTCCTGTGCCAAACTAGATGGCGCTGATAAAGCGATCCAGCCCAAAACCACCGTCACCTTCCAGCCAAAATGACCAACAAGGAGCAAGACCGCTGAAGCGCCCGGGCTGCAAATCAAACGAATCCCTCCAGCCCAGGCTCCGCGTGTGCTCGGCCTCCGGAGTTCCGGAAGGGACTCAGGCCGTGAGAAGTAGGACTTCATGCCTCGATCCGCGATCCGCGTTTCCAAGCTGATCTGCAAGGCCGCAAAGGGTGCTTTGTATACATGGCTTCCGTTGCCTATGCTAACTATCCAGGCAAGAAGCGCCGGGAAGCGCAAGTCCTTTGTTGGACCCGGTTCCTTGATTGGACCTTTAAAGCAAAACAATACCCAATTTGACGCATGCACGCGGCAGGCAATTGCCACCTGGTAGTCAGGGCGTGCTGGCTGGGTTCTCTTTGCGTCGGCGCTAATGTCAGAGTTTCTTCTGGGGAAGGCGACAAGTGCACCAAGGCTCCGAAGCCGTGATAGAAAACGTTGGCTTCGCTTGACCATCCCAAAAAAGTTTCGCGCTCGTCCAGTTAGTTTGTCGAGAGAACCCTTTTTTGCGGCTTTCTTGTTGCAAGCCTATGCTAGGGGGTCCATGCTCCATCCAAACACCATCCTAACACGCCCACATGCCACCGGGCCCCCTCGGCCCGAACGCCCTTTTTCGGGGCCGCGCGCCCGTCTCTGCCGCGCAATGTGCTGTTCTCCGCGCGATGCGCCGACGTGGGGAGGGATGGCAAGGGGCAGGGTTGGGCCACCCCTTGTTTAAACCTGCTAAACTATGTGTTTTAACAACATTCCTTTTCGCTCTCCTCTGAAGACCACCCTAACCGGCATATCTTAAACCAGACCCCCCGCCCTGGGTGGATTGGAAGGAGAACTCCAATTTTCTGTGAGTAGAGGAAACCCCACAGGAAGCCAAACGGGGCTGATTTCTGGACTCACTGCTGAGGTTGGCGTCTTAGGAGCCTGCCAAATAATTGACGAAGTACCCCGCAACTCCATTCTAATTGCAGCTGGTTGACAGCTAATGCCACGCCTTCCCCGTTTGCTTTTGTCACCCCCTGGACCACATCAAGGGAATTGAGTCATTTACTTTGGCATACCCCAGGGCTCCATTCCAATCATTTAGACCACTATATCGGCCCTATCGGGCGCAGGAACCCCCAAAATCTTGAGAACCCCTCAAAAGCTTCACTTGATGGAAGCCAGTTGCAGGTCGCCCAACCCGTCTTAAGGAGCTGACTTCGGCTCGCCCCATGCCTACGGTGAGACTGTCTTTTTCGGCGCTCGGGCGCTCGGTTCTGCGAGCCGCCCTGCGGAAGATGCCTCAAAGCACAGTGCCGTGGACACTTTTCTAGAAACATGGCAACGTTTCTTTTTGTTAAAGTTTGCTTTCTAGGGCTGGTTCTTTCCTAGGGTGGTTGTCCGCAGGGCTAAGGTAAAGGTGTTGTTGAAACTAGAAAACAATGCCCGAAAAAGTAAGCGCTGCCAAATACAAGAGGGTCCTCTCTGTTTTTGGCTCAGGGACGTGTTTGGTTGGATTCCAAAGTGCCGTTTGGGCTGGTGTCTAACCGGAAAGCTGCAAGCGTTCAAAGGAACAGTTTCTGGCTGAAGCGAACTAAAGGGATATTCCGGCTGGGGTCGAAAGGGACAACCTTGGATGATTTCCCAAACAGACATGCTCGCTGGCTTCCGTATGGGGAACATATGAAGCTGATTCTATGACTGACACTTGGCCAGTCTGCAAATAGCAAGTACAGCAGAAAGCGTAGCAAATTGTGCTACTGCTTGCAGACCTGGGAAACAACTTGCAATAGACTTACAAAATAAAATGACGGCGAAGGAATCCTCATCTGTTAGTACTCAACTCCCAAAAAAAGAGATCCCGTTTCCCGCCAATTAGCAAGTTTTCTTAGACCAAGCGTAACAATAGGCTCGACTTGTACTGGCATAGGTTTAACTTGTACTAGCCATGCTTCACAAAGGCACAACCCAAGCTTCAAGGCTTTGAGGCGAAGTTTGGAGGGGATAGTGGAACTTACTCAGCTTCCACATCTTTTCGCAGCTGGCCTGAACATGCTTTTGTTTCCGTGGAAAACGGTGCCTTCAACATCACCTCTGGGAATTTGCGGTCTTGATCGTTGGGATGTCTTTAGCCTGGGCATTGATCCAACCCTGGAAGTCTTCATTGAGGGCGGCATGTTTTTTTGGGCCAAGCTTAGGCGTCCCCATATTTCCCCTTCAAACATCCAACCCAATGTCAAAGGAAACCCGAGGGAATCACCAGGCGATCGTTGAGAAGGGGAAATACAAGAGACCCCGGGAAGCCACGTCCACAAAAGCGTTCCTCGAATACATCCAAAAGCCACCTGTATGCCCGACCCTCCCAGCCCCCTCCCAGGAGAGGGCCCTGCGGGGCCTGCCCCGCCTCTGTGCCCTTTTCGTTAGCTTCCCGTGGCCGCCGCCGCGCCCATGTACCTGGCCTCAGAGTTCGGCTCTGCGTCTCTGCATACGAGCTGCATATGCATACGTTCAGGCATGTCTATGCAGAATATGTGTGCATACATGAGTATATATACATTTGCATAACATATGAGTGTGTTTCTCCTTTAATTATTCCAAACAAATACCTTACCAACCGTTATTGGCAGCCAAAGCGAGTTGACGCGCGCTCTGTCGGAGGTGCCCTGGGCACCTCCGGAACGAATAGGTTTTACCCCGGGACAGACATGAAGGGGCATTCACATACAAGTTCACAGGATGGACCCGATCAACGTCGCATCGAGAGCCCTGCGCCCCTAACATCACCTGGTTTAACAGGCACCTGCTTGTGTGGTCTTGTACTGTTGGGTGCTTTGGAGAAACAACACGTGACCAAAAATTGCTTGCTAGAAGCAGCCACGTCTAAAACGATCCCTCGAAATGCCACTGAAAGCCAGGACTGCAAGAATGGCGCCTTGCCTACTTCACCCGCAAAAGCTGCAACAAAACAAACAAACAAACAAACAAACAAACAAAACGGCAAACCACCAACATCCAACCCCAAAAGAACAAACAACTCCACAAGACACTGCTCAGCCTCCCCTCCCGTCTGGCTCTTTCTCCGTTTGAGGCGCGATGTAGGGCAAGGCCTGGTGGGCCACATCGAAGCTCGGATCCAGCTGCCGCACCTCCGGAGCTTGACGGGACTCGGACGGGGAAATCGGCGGGACGGTTTAGCCCCGATATGTGGCGCTTAAGTCGAGACAGGACAGACACCCAGACACCCACCTCAACCACGTGATCCAACTTCCCAGGTCCAAGGTGATGTGTCTTCTTCTTTCGTTCTTCCTCTTTTCTGGTTAAGCGACAAGTTGCAGAAGGGATTTCGGATCAGATGTATGGTGGGTGGATTCGAGTGGTTCACGTTGGGCCACCTTTAGGGGTTCAAGTCCAACTCCCGGAATTGGATGGAGTTCTCAAAAAATGGAATTCAATTAGATATACGTTTATGGTTCACTGGCTACTGACAGGCACCAGTTAGAGGTGATTCATATGGCGTCATTCATCCCAACTGGGATGAGAAATTTTGGCCGTCCAAGGATTATTGGTTGGGGTACATTCTTACGAAATGGCCATGGGTCAAAACCCCGTACCCCCAGTGAACATCCCAATCTCCACTAAAATAGACTAAAATTGGTGATGCGCCTAAGGGATCCCGAGGCCCCGGCCAAACCCTCGGAGATGGAGATGGTGAAGAGCGTCGAGGCGACGTCGCCCTTCAGCAGCATCCCGTGCCTCCTTGGCGCACCAGAGGGAGTTTTGGGGTTCGGGGTTTGGGGGTTGGGCGGAAGGAGAGGGGGGTGGGGGGTCGGGGGGGTGAAAGAAACCTATACCCAGGAAAGTCCCGTGCCCCACACCAGCTCCCCTCCCCCCAACAAGCAAGTAAGCCTTTTGAACCACCAAGGCTCAAGCAAACGGGAAAGAAGAAAGGCGCGTCCCTGGAAACAACTGTCTTTGTGTTGCCATTGCCCCTCCCAAAGCATAAATAGCAAATTCCGCCTGTCAACCTGATGGATCAGGGCGAGGGTCCCCTTTTGAACACTTTGCTTAGTGAGTCTTTCGCTATATTGTTAGGGCCCCCCCATTGGCGGACGGTTGCAAAGATAATCACCGGCAACTCCCGATTTTCCATGGACGCCCAATCTTTGGGATCTTTCGGAACAGCCTAGCGGGCGCAGGTCCCCCCGCCCCAACCCTTTTTCACCCACCAGCCGTCAGCCGAGCATCTGCAGGGTGAACATCACCTCGCCGAACATGTCCGCAGCATTCAGCGGCCCATCCTGCTTCAGCCGGAAGGGGCCCATGTACCTCGCACGGCATTTTGCTTTCCTTTTAAACATGAAGCCCACCAGAAGCGGATCACAGAACAGCCGGCAGGAAAACCAACTCAGAACAGAGCGAACCTAGGTTTATAAACCTTGATTAATACCCACTTTGAGAGGGAATCCAAAACACTTCTTGCTGGGAAGAGGACATTACATGCAGAACGCTTCAGGACTGAGGGCGACTCTGGCCGGTGGCTGTGATCAATGACTGGCTTGCTCTAGCTTCGCGGGCTGAGCAACTGGACAGCAAAAAGAAAAAAAGCACAGCGGGGCTTACGGGCTTTTGCGAAAACAACAAGGGACTCGTCCATTGAGGATGGCAAGCCATGGTAAATTCCCCCTACTCCTTTGCCGCTTGTGCTTGGCCCGCGCTTGTTCGCAAAAAGGTGGGATCCGCGACGCATTGCGCAGCAGGCCCCGGCTGCGTGCGTTCAACTTGGTCGATATTCAATGGTAAACCTGAGGCTCAATTCCACATATTCCCCCGCCGTTCTTCTTTTGAAAGCTTTTCGGGATTGCGTTAGACCGCAAGAGCAAGAAAGTTGATCCCTTGCTGGCTGAGAGTAAATCCTTGTTGGTTCTTTCCGCAAGAAGTTTAGAGGTTACACTGCAGGCAACCAAGCAGAAAGATGGTACCAGACCTTCGTCCCCTGCGCTTGGGCACTTGTCCATGGTGTCTTGGATGTCCGTCTTAAGCTGCAGCGTGTTCACCACCTCAGCCGCAAGCCACGGCCCATGTTGGGCGCGGGGGGTGACCCCAAAATGAGGGGTTCCCCAGCAGGGCCAAATGGAGCGCAAGACTTGACAAAGGGCAGAGCAACGGCAAAAGAAACACGGGTGCCACAAAGGAAATCTTGTTGTCTTTGGCTCCTGGAACTAAAACGAGAGAAAAAGGCGCAGTCCCCAACAAGGCGCACGGAACCAACCGCAGCGGCATTCACAGGACGGCATGACACGCTACGGTGCGATGCAAACCCTCAGCAAAGGCCAAGCAGCCATGTTCGACTCGTTGAAGCGCTGGAGGTAATCCACGACGGTATCCGTCTGCCCGGAGCACAGGGCATAGAGAAACCGTCCTCAGCGCGAGGAACCGAGCAAAGAAGCGAAGCGGATCGCTCCTCCACTTGTTGGCCACTTGATGGGAGGGTGCTGCATGTGAACTGGGCCCAGCGCCGAAGGGAGCAAAGGTCCGCTTGTCCAGGGACGTGGCGATGCCAGCATCCAGCACCGTGACGTGGTCGCCGTGCATGGAGTACAAGATGTTGCCACCTGGGAGATTCTGGACTGGGGTTGGATTGGGACCTATAAACCCTTCACCGGGGGGGGGGAATGAGTATCTCAGACTTGCCATTTTAGTGGCCCTGGGTTGGTCGCCTGGAGTCAACCTCTTGCTCCCGCATCGGGAGTGGCAGAGGTTCCAATCTGAGGCAACCTAAGCAGAGAAGAGGAACCAACAAACAGCCCCAGGCGCTAGTTTGGTGTACCCTAAAAAAAGACACACCCAGTTGGTGCGGTGAACCAACCCTTTCCGAAAAGCTTCTTACAGGTTTAAGGCCGCACCAACCAGGCCACCATGCAAGTCCCCGTGCACGAAGTTGTCCCGCACCATCATCTTCATGCTCATGTCGTAGAGGATGTTGGAAAGCCTACCTGGCGCTTGACTCCAAAAATCCAGCGAAGCCACTCTGGACCCAAAAACCGAAAGAGAAACAAACGCCCGAGCTGCCAAAACCGCAGTGGACAAAAAGGTGATCACCGATCACCTTTCGGCCCACTGAAAATTGTTGCCAAAAGGGGGAACCAAAGGATGAAACCCAGCAGGCCAAGCCCAAAAGGCTCCAAGGTCGATTCGCTTTGGTTTAGTCTACCAACGCAGTTAGCTTACATGGGCCTTACTACATCCCCCACAACACCAGGTGGTAGAAAACTACCTACTAGGAGCGCAACTGAGTTCTGCGAGGGAATGAGAGGACCGCAAATGCGCCTTGGACTTCCTTCTTCTTCTCCGCGATGGCCGTGACTGCGTCTTTGCAGGCGACCTTCGCGTTGTCGAAGTCCTGACGCCCTCCCCGGGTATGGTGTATTTTGCAACCTCTTTCGTCTTCTTCTTCTTCTTCCTTCTTCTTCTTCTTCTTCTTCTGATTCTTCTGCTTCTTCTGCTTCTTCTGCTCCTTCTTCTTCTTCTTCTTCCTCTTCCTTCTTCTTCTTCTTCTTCTTCTCTTCTTCTTCTTATTCTTCGTCTTCTGTTCTCTCTCGTGCCATCGAAGGTCCTTAGGGTGTTGGGTTTTTTGGGTATAGGAGAAATACATGGTTTTTTGCAATGCCAAAGTAGGACGGAGTTCGCCCACTCTGCCTGACAAAGATGGCGGAGAAAGGAAGAACAAACGATCGATTCACTCAAGTATAGGATTTCTCAAAACGGTTGACCCTTTTGGTCAGCCACTTCTTGAGCTTCTTGAGTCACAATCAAAACCTGGTTCACAAGTGGTCCACCCAAAACCCGGGAAAGAACAGGGCGGATATCCGCACCTATCCGGCTGTCGCGGTCCCCCTAACCTTCACTACTGAGATCTTGATTCTGAAACTCTTGGAGACCTCTTGGACTGATACCCAAAATAAACCGAAGGTTGAATGTTGACCCCAGATTCATCAACCCCAGTTTATCAATGTGGGGGTGTTCCCCTCCAAAAGTGATGAATCCCCACTAAACCAGGGACACCCCCCTATTAAAAAGAAGAAAAACAAAAGACTGGGGTTGATTCATCTGGGGTCAGCATTAACCCTGTCTTTCCTGAGACGCCGAAAGCCCACACCTTGCCACAGACACCAGCAAACACAAAAGACCATAGGGCAAGGATTGTGTCTGGTGGCACGCCGCAACTGCCACGAGCGATGCGGCCATCTGAGGCCAACCCCTTCCTCCAAGGTTTGCCCATGTTCAATTCCGGATGAGTCTCCTTTTGAGATGAGTTTGGTTTAATCCCGAGGGTACTTTTTTGGGGGCTCCTCTACGCTGTTCAATCCTGGATTCCAACAAAAGGTGATCACCTTTTGGGCCCACTAGGCATGGTTGCCATGTGTAGATGGGGAACCCTTTCGGTCGGACCTTCTCGGTGACAGATCCGTCGATCCGTCGATCCGTCGATTCGCTTGGGGCTGAGAGGTGAGTCCTCCATGATGTTGGAGATGATCTCCCCGTTCTCCCAGGTCTCCACCAGCACTTCGGGGGTTACCAGCCGCGAGGAGACCTTCGGAAACCTCCGCGCGAAACGGAGACCGGGAGACGGGCAGATTCGGGAAGGGGGGGGCTTGTTGTTTTCGGGCTCGATGAAGGTACTGGTTGCGTGTTTCGTTGTGTGACTTTTGCGGTGTGTGTGTTTAGATTATTGCTTGTTTGCTTGCTTGTTTGCTTGCTTGCTTGCCTGCTTGTCTGCTTGTCTGTGCTTCATGAGGTTGTTCTCTTGTGTTGTGTGTTGTTCGTGTTTTCTGTTCTTTGGTTCATGTAACTGAGCTGGCAAGATTGCGTCTGGGTGTCGGCACTGGTACATCCAGGAAGTTACCCCCAATTCGTGTCAAAGTCGACCGCAGTTGATTAACCGGGGGGGTATCCTTTTAGTGGGGACGCATCACTAAGAAAACACCCTAGTCATAGGACAGGTTCTACTCCAGTACCAAGTGTCCTTCCGTAGTTCGACCCGCCCCGCCGAGCCTAAACCAAACACCAAGCCAGGCATGAGACAAGGAATCGAAGCTTCGAGGGACTCAAACAGTAGCTTTACTCGCGGCACGCGGCTTTTGAGCTCGCCTGATGCGGGTCTCCCCCTTGAAGTTCTTGGCGAATCCTCGGATGCAGTTTCGACTCGGGCCGTGAGCTTGGAGACGGGGTATGTCAAGGGACTGTCCAGGGATGGCTGTTGGAGGTATGCAGATTACCACTTATGTACAGTTCATAACGACCTTCTGTTGCTGGTGTATGCATATATATATATACATATATATATATGTATATATCATACATATATATATATATATATATGTGTGTGTGTGTGTGCGTGTGTGCGTTGGTGAATGCATGCATGTGTATGTATATATATATATATATGTGTGTGTGTGTGCGTAAGCCTATAAGTAAGCCGCCATAACCTCCAACACACATTGGAAAGAAACCATCGGGGAGGTTTTGGAAGACTGTCGTCCGCTTAAAAAGGCCATTTGGGTGGATAAGCTTTTGGAGTCACGCTGCCTCCAGCACCCCACAAAACCAAAAATGCTGCACTTCCACCCTCAAACCGATGCTCTCTTCAGCGGTTTCGTGGGACATCTGGCCACGCAGCCAGGCATATGTACAGACAAACCACCACCAAACCGCGGCAAGAGGTCGGCCAGTGGGACTGCTGCGGCCTGGGCGCTCTGCAGATTAAACGCCTCGCGGGTGAAATCCATCTGTGCTTGGATCACCGCATCAAAGTCGCTCCTGTGAGGCTGCCCTTTTGTGGTTGGCTCAAAGTGGAGCCCCCCAAAAAATAGGTGCGGGCTCTCCATTGGCTCAACACGGCCACCGAGCCTTGACAGGAAGATGCCACACTCACGAGCCAGGGCCTAGATGCGTGGAGCTCCGGCCGAGGGAGTTATGGCTCTGGCATGCACCAAAAACGACACGCAACCTGTTTGAGCTCTCCCGATCACGAGTCGCGGCAACATGGAGGCTAGCAATTCGTGCACCCATCGCATCTCTCCTGTCGAAGGGCATCGTCATGTGCAAAAACTTTTCGGAGAACGCCACGATCTGCCAAACCTGCCAAGTGGCTCGAGCCAACGGCCGAGGTAAGCGGGGAGCCGCTGGGCCCTCCAAATGGATGCTGGTGCCCCATAGGTACTGCTGGGTGAAAAACCTCCTGCAAATCAAGCAGGAAATCAAAACAAACAACTTTTGGGTGACCTACCCTTGTTGGGCTCCTTTTTGTTTCCCTGCAGGTGGGAAATGAATTTGTCCTGACCCCTATCTGGTTCTGCACTCTGTTCCTGTTCCCCACCAGCCTATACAATAGTAACAACCGGGCCCTGCTCCCCCTTCTTTCTGGGAAACAAAAGGAGGTTGCTCAACCACAGAGTTGCTCAAACCGCCCAATTCCCTGACGGAGAGAGGGACCTCCAATCAGTTGTAGGTACAACCCCCCTCCTTGTGTTCCCCAATTCACCAACCCTGGATGAATGGATGTGGACCCACTCCCTGCACATAGGCTGGGGGCTACGAGTTGCCTGGATCATGTCAATAGAAGGTGAAATAAAAATAATTGCTGATAGAGCTCCTATCAACGTGACTCAACACTCGCCCAAGGTGCGATGTTCAAATCCATGAAGGCGCTGTCGATCACGCCCGGGTGCTGGATCTTCACAGCCACCTCCCGCAGCTGGCCACCTGAAAGGGAGCGGAGGCCTAAGCTCGAAAGCTTGGCGCGCCGTTTCTGGGGAGTTGCTGTACCCTTGTTTGGGGGGCCTTGTTTTGCCGGTGGCTTTTTGGAAGCAGAAACCAAAAGGAAAGGCTAGAATTTAGAAAAAAATGGGGAGGAGCTTGCTTTGATTTTTGTTGGGGTGGGCTGGGCTTGGATGTTCTGACGCTTTCTGGCTTGCGTCACAACATCTCCAACCCCCACCCTCCTTAAAACCCCAACCCTTCAACCCCCCCCCCACCCCCAACCCCCAACCTCAACCCCACTACCCCACCCCCCCCCCCCCCCGCGCCAAACCTCCGCCCCTCCGCCGTTTACCCCGCCTGGGCCGTCCAGCGCGTGCTCGGCCCGCAGCCGCGCCCGGTGGACCTGGCCCACCGAGCCGCTGGCCACCGGCTCCTCCTGGCCGCGCGGCTTGCTGCGGGCCCGGTGGCGCGGCTGGATGTTTCCCTTTCGGGGGGGGGGCCTCTTTCCAAGGCCTGCTGGGTGGTGGACTCTTTGCTTTCTGCATTGTTTTGTGTGTTTGTTGCTTTTGTGATTCAGAGGGAAACAATTACGTTGTGGGTTGTTGCTTCGTTGTTGTATCTTTTTGTTGAGTTTTTCTGGTGGTCTTGTTGGAGACAAAAACGAAACCACGTCGATTCTGGGTGGGTAGCCACCCTTTTTGCTCATATCCTCCTCTTTGTTTGCCCGAGGCCCTCAGGAAATGGAGAGTTTGTTGCAAGCCAACACCTGCAATGAGTAAGAAATTGCTTTTGGCACCGGCACTTGCTTTTCATTGCTTTTCCAGTGCCGATCCGAACACGTTAAGAGCCTGCTCAACGGGCCCCTGGAAAAAGGGAGCTCGTGTAGGTTTTTTTGTGGGCCAGCTGGAAGTTCCGGCCTCCGGGAGGGAAATTCAAAAGTGACCCATTTGTGGCATGTCTCGGCGGAATCTGAGCTGGATGTTTGGTGGCATGCCTTGGCAATTCCGCGAACCTTTGGGTGCAGCTGCGGACCTGAGGCTTGCCTTCTGGTATCTGGATCCGATTTCGAGTGGTGGGGGGAACCCCTGCCTCAGGTTCCGCTTACATCCAAAGGGGTCGTTTCTGTGGGCTTCAAAGGCAATGTGAGCACTCATTTCGAGACCAGCCTGAATGGAGGGTTCCCCAATCGCTTGTTCCAAAAAGGCTACCGGGATCTCTTTTGCGAAGCCAAGGATCCACGCACTTCTGTTTGCCTTTGGTGCAAGCCGAAACTAAGGGCTAGAGTTCCAGGGGTTGGCCTGGCCGATCAGAGGTACTCAGCGGCAGGCGGCCAACACCTGCGGGCCGTCGGTCCTGAAACTCGTCGAAGAGTTCATCCACGTCCTCTCGGCTGCTCACCCTCTCCCCGCATCCCGCAGGCCAGATGAGCAGAGCCCCAAAAACAAATTCTCTCTCTCTCTCTCTGCCGTTGCGTCCAGAGGGTCTTGACTCAGCAAGGCAACGAAAAAGGTGACCAATAAACAAATTGTGTTTCGGTGTTTCGGCATGCCATTCTACAATCTTGGTTCCCTAAAGGTTTGCATCTCTCTCGTGCCAGTAAAGGCCTTGCAATTTCCCTCATCCATCCAAGCACTGGAATGTGCTAGTTCTGCCGATGATAGATGGTGTCGAAAAAGGGTATGGTTGCGGAACGTTGCGCCAACTTCAGTCACGTCCGTCTACATTGATGACTGCCCTTGGGATCCAATCATGTAAAGTAGTGCTGCTCTTAATTCGGGTCTTGCTGCAAAGTGAAGCCCACAAAAAGGCACGGATTCAGATGGTTGCCCGAAGTGGAAAACACCTCCCCACCCTCCACCCCACCCACAAAACCCCTTCATCCCTGCGGCTCCTTGCCGAGGTGCTGCTTCAGCTTTTGCCGCGACACCGCCTGGGCGAAGGACACATACCGTGGAACGAAAAAAAAGGGCAGCGTTGTGGCTGACCTGGGTGATTCGTGGGAAAATCGATGGCCCTGTGGGGCAAAGGCCCGAGTAAATGATTGGAACCGAACTGAAACGAGTGGAACCCATCGATCTTCAGATGGTGACTGCAGCCAAAGCTTCCCCCGGATGGGCCGGCGCATCTGCACGCAGCTTGCTCAGCGCCAGGATCACATCCGGCGGGAACATGTCCGGCCGCATGGACAGCCACTGGCCAAACCTCATGCGAAGGCGAACGAACCCAAGAAATGCGAATTAAAGCCCCCGAAGCTCGGTTTGGCTGCATTCTCTTCAACCATGGTTCTCTTCAAAAACTAGCTTCTGTTTCCCTTGTGCGTCGATGCTTTTCTGAAAAGAAAGGTCCCTGGACACAATGGAGAGCCTCTAGAATCATGGTTGGGCGCAACGCTGCCAAGCGGCTTCTGGAACGCAGCGCCCGCCCGCTGCGTGCCTGAGGTACATACAACGGGCCAAGCTTAGCGGGCTTGCAACTCAACATGAATCCCCAAAATGGGTCTCCAAAAAGAGGCTTCCTCTCTGCAAATGATGTTTTGGGGGTCCCACGTCAATCTGCGAGGAGCACCGTTCCTCGGAGCCCTTTCTTCTTGAATGGACGCCTCTGCCAACAATCATAAGGTGGATGGACAAAATCCTGCACCGGTTGGTAGCTGGTGTGTCCCAGAATTTACAGGGTTTGGGATTGCACCTGAAGATCCACTTCCATGTTGAAAGAAGCCTGCTCTTGAGCATGGACAAAAACCTGCAGTCCCCCTGGTGGTTTAATGTTGACCCATACCCGCTATGAGGACAACATGGCCTGCGTGATTGGGAGAGTGGTTTGGCCAACGTCCGAAGGGAGATCAAGGGGGCTGCCGCAGTCAACCCCCTTGGCGACGTCCCAAAATGCGCCCGCTCCAAACAGTAGCGCAAATGCAAACATCACTTCAGCTAGTGCCCTCCAAACAGCGCATTGTTGTTGTGTGTTGTTTGTCTGGGTTTGCCATAAGCTTGCAGCTTAAAGCCGAGCAGCACTCCAGCATCTGATGGAGCCAAATCTCCCGCCAGCTTGGACTCTCCTTGCCAAAGATCACTAGCAAGGTTGAGGCGCCTCAGGCCCAAGCTGAGGACCCCGCCATTTTGGTCCCAAAGATCCTGAGGCCTCAAGGTCCTAACTTTGTTGATCCGACATATGGCAACATTTGGCACACCCCCCATCTCAGGTCTGCTGGGGGGATCCCTTAGGGGCGTGGCATCTGCCGCAGTATCCTTTCGGGGGCATCCATCGCAACGGCTTTGGAGGAAATCAAGGGATGGACGGCAGTGCTAACATCCACGGCGAGCTGCAAACCTCACTCAGGAGACCTGTAGAAAATGCCGTCAAACTAGTCGATGTTTGAATTACAAATCAAAAACTGATCGAACCACAATATATTCACCACATAAGTTGCAGGAACCCATGGGAGAGGCCTTGAGTATCGGGCGGAAAAAGCTGACATTTCTGTCGCATGTCAACACGACTGCAATATGCCAGCGGCAAACAGGTGAAAGCTGTTTATCAGAAGCTACACAGCTGAAACAAAGCTGTTTATCAGAAGCTACACAGCTGAAACATACATTCTTGTCGCCCAGCCCTTGTTTCACCAGCTCGCCATGGCTACATCCCGCGCAGCTAAGCCCCCGACACATGAAGGGCGCGAAGACCCAGGCTAAGAAAACCTTGGCTTTCCAGCAGGTGGACAATGGATACATGTGCCAATCTCTCAAATCCGGCAGAAAGACCATGTGGGTTTCTCTCGGTGGTGTTTGTAGTGCAGCCTGGGTATTTGGTGGTTCCCTGTCACTGTTTGTAGCCAGCATGTCTGGCGTTCACCCAGCATGTGCTCAATTAGTCCTGTATTTGGGCGCCTCCTAGGAGCCCCAAACACACCGATCCCACGTTTGGTCGGGTTCAGTCTCAAGGGGGTACCCCTACAGCTCACGTCCTGAGTGCACTTGCCCACAAGTCCAAACCGCTTGCTTTCCATTGAAAGGGTCCAAACCCAAAACGTTTCAAGCAACCAGCTCGGCACCCTGTTTCCGGGCTGGAGGGGCCATTGTTGGCATACCTTCCGAAGAGGTCAGCCCGACAGTCGTTTTCCTTCGGAAAAATATCCTCTCTGTTTCCAGAAGTGGTTGCCAGTCCAAGGGGCCGAACGCTTGAAGGCGAACCAGGCCTTCTGGTACCAGGGCCAGGTTTCGTAGGGGTGCCGAAACTCCCCTGCAGGCTCCGGCACAGCCGGCAGCTCCACCTCCTCCTCCTAGGCCCAGCTTTTAAGGTTGGTTTGGGCTTTAGCTTTTCGCCGAAAAATTGAAGGATGCTGCTGGGGGAACGTCATTGAAGTTTCGAACTCAACGGATGGAAAAGAAAGGGGACTGAAGATGTGGGTGGCGAAAGAAAAAAGGGAAAAGTGGGGGCCCGCCAGTTACAGAATAACATGCTGCGGGGCGTCATTATTAGTGGCTTTGGATTCCACAAAGCCAAAAGGGACTAGGTGCCACCGAACAACTGGGTGATGAAAGGGAATAAGGACTCTCACCCCCGGGACTGCGGGGGTTTCGCTTTTGCCAACCATCATGCCAGTGACCCAGAGGTGTGTTTCATCAGAACAACCCATAACCACCAACAGTCACGAAGCATGAATCATAACGCCACCTCCTGAGAAGGGCCAGTGCCGGCCCGCCCAAGCTTTGGCAGTGAGGGCCGCAAGGGGCGGCCCTCAATCCAGGCGAAAGAAGCTAGAGCTAACTAAGAGGAACCACATCTGCTTTTAACCGAAACAATCCCCACTGTCATCGTCCCTGTCCTTGATGTCGAAGATGAGGTATCTGTACCCGCCATAGCCCGCCGCCGCCGCTGCACACCCGAACGCCACTGGCTTCAGCCGCCGACCACTCCGCGGCGCCGCCGCAGCGAAGGCCCGCGCATGCCGCGCACGCAGGTGGCCCTGGCCTGTCCTGTGGAACAAAACTGACCAAACTGCCCCAAAGATTTGGGGGTCATTCAAGATGGAAATACGATAAGTCAGGTAAACAATGGTGGTTCCAACCATTTTGCTTTAATGGTGATAGCTGAATCCCAGAGACCCTCTAACGCTCTTTCTCTCTCCCCCTCTCTCTCTCTCTCTCTCTCTCTCTCTCTCTCTCTCTCTCTCTCTCTCTCTCTCTCTCTCTCTCTCTCCCCCTCTCTCTCTCTCTCTCTCTCTCTCTCACTGCAGCACCGTCCCTCTACCTACCCAAAAAAAAAATATTGCCTCAAAAATCATGGGATGCTTTCCCCATGTTCTACAGGCAGTCTGAGGGTGCATGGGTACCTTTGGGAGGGACTCTTGACTTCCTTGATGCCACATTCCACAGGGAATGGCGCAGGTCCTCACACACACACACAGACACACACTCACACCATGTCCTTGCAGAACTGGTGTCTAAAGGCCCCCTCTTTAAAAACAACTCGGCCCCACTTCCCCCTTCGAACCCATGGCTTCCGCCTCGCGAGGCTTCGGGCGAGGCCCCGGAACCGAAGCATCGGTCCGGGCGGAGCTGAGCCAAGAACGGCCCGAATCGGAGCGCAAGGCGGGGAGAGGGAAGGACCCCCTCAAACACCGGAAGATGGATGCAACCATTTTTTCAACACGTCCAAGCCCTGAGGTGATCTCTGAAAGTTGCGGGACTCAAAATATTGCCCGTAAGTCACAGCTTAAGTGCCGAAAGTCTTCAATCACAAACAGAAACATAGAAGGATGCCCGGACTGCTACACAGTCAGGTCATTCCCGAGAGGATTGGGCTGAACCACTCCATCGACTGACATAAGTGAACCTGCTTGAAGATCAGTGGGGGAGTGCACAATGCCACGCGTGTTTTGTTTGTTTGTTTGTTTTTGGGGGGGCAAGTCCCTCAACACTACCAGGGCATAAGATGCGCATCTAGGGGACCCTGTAAACCATAACTCGAGGGACCTACAAAACACAGCCGGCGCAAATGGCCCTCTGCCGCTTGGCAGGTCTTGGGGCAACTTCGTGTCCTTGAAAGGCGGCTTGGGGGGGGGGGGGCATTGTTCTGGACAACTCCCCTCATCCCTCTTGGCTTCCTATTGGTACATCGCACATACTGGTTACTATCTGATTGCACTCAGGGAAACCAGCACGGCCACTTTCGTCTTTTGGTCGAAGCGAGCTTCAAAAGGAGCTGCAAAACCGTGTCGTCTTGGCACCTCCCGTGGTGCGACATGTGTGGCGTGACCAGGCCCAGCGCAAGCAAAAGACGCGCTTCGCGCGCGAGGCCAAGGTATGAACCACATAGATCTTTCGTGCTGAAGCCAGTGCTATCCAAAATGGCAGACAGACCAAACCATGCTTGCAACCCCTTTTTCCTGAAGCCAGTGCTCTCCAACAACCGGAGATGGAAGTGGAGTTCGGCCACGCCCGGCCCGGCCCGCCTCTGGCAATTCGCAGTTTCACCACGGGTGGAATTGCCGATCGCTACGCCGCTCACTCGACACTCAGCTGCAGACCGTAGGACGGAGTGCCTCGCGGCTTCAGGCACAGCCGATTTCAAGGTGGGCTCCTCATGGAAAGTTCAATTTTCGGGATGTGCCTTTCATGTGTTTCTTTTTTTTATGCCTTTCTATATCTTTATGCAATGTTTACCCCTTTGTACCTTTGGTACTGCCTTGAATGTTGCTTACACCTTCGCCTCCCTCCCTTCCTCGTGTCCCTCACCTGCCTTTCTTTGTGTCGTACTTCAGGCCGCCGATGACATTAAATCCCTTCGCAAGGGTCTGCTTCACCTCACGCAGCCACTTGCAACGTCCACCGGGCAGTCTGAGTGAGAAGGGGGAATGGCGCACCAATGAATCTGGCCAACCCTGCGACAAAACACGGTTGGCCAATGGAAAGCAAGGCCCCGTTAAAGTTGCAAGCGGAACCAAACTTGATAGGAAACAAACTTGATACACTTGCGGCTGAAACCAATAGCCCCCACAGCTTCGCGCATAGCCTGAACTGCGAAACAGCAACAGGAACGTGCGTATTCAGTGAGGTCGCGTCACCCACCAGGTTCCGAATGAAACCCAAAAGAAAATGTCATCATACGAGCATCGTAGTCAGCACCCCGAGTACTGAATACGCTGCACCCGAGCCAACGTAACCCAAACATCCCTGAGTTCTACGGCGCGGCATTGCTATCTCGGTTGCCCAAACCACCTGCACAATAGGGAAACTGCCATCTGGAATATGGACTGAGGACTGAGGATTGGCGTTGAACAACTCAGACTACAACTCACCTGCTGCAGGCAAGACCAAAGCAAGGGACCTTCATGTGTGAGCTCGCGTTTCCCAGCGGTAGCCTGCTGGAAGTATCAATTGTGAGCTGGGGGATCAGCCCATCGGAACCAACAGCATTCGGAACCACAGCATCTGGACAGGCGATACAAAACTGCTGACCTGTGCATTTGCCTGGAATATGGAATATTAGTGTGGGGGTATGCCTGTACGGTAACCGAATCAAGCAGACAGGTTGTCACCATCCCTTCACACCTGCGGCATTTAGCCCAGCCGCCGCGCAGCTCACGCCCAAGTCCTGCTCCACCTTCACCTAGCCCCAGACTTAGAGCTTAGGGCCGAAGGGCGGAGGTTCCTTCCGGAGAACTCCTGGGTTTTGTTTTGGGGGGTTGGGGGCTCCGTATTTTGGGGTTCCACGTTCTTTTGGGGTTCCTGCAGGTTTCGCAGGGTGGGTTTCGGTTCCTGGGTTCCTTCGATTCGGGAGGCTCCTTGAAAGCTGGCCACACGGAGCCTTCTGCGCCAAAGTACCCAAGTCCTTTGTACCCACCTTTCTTTGTAAGAGAGTTCTGTGCAGAAAAGGCATGCCCAAAGCCGCAACCGAGGCTTTGCAAGAAGAAGGGCACATCCAGCCCTCATTGCTTTCTCTTCCCCTGTTTGACACCCCTTGTCTGATTGCGTTGGCTTTGGGAGGGGGGGTCGCCAAGAACTCGGTGCCTTCATGCTGGTGTTCTTGTTGCAGCTGTACATCAGAGCCAGGCCGCAGGTGCCATTCCTCGGTAACTTGCCCAGCCCCTGGACGAGACCCCACCCTTTTCCCACCCAAGACGGCTTAGGGTGGCTTCGGGGCCCTTCAGAAACAGGAAGAATAAAAAAAAGAACAGGCGAAGCACGCCAGGTTTCACCAGAACCGCTTTACCAGCCAAAGCGCTTGGAGCCGCCGAAGGTGTAGTTGGCAGCCACTCTCAAATTGTCAGCTGCCTGCCAGGCGCACAGCACACCCCACCAGCAGCCCAGGGGGGAAAAAGGACCAAACAAAAATAGCCCCCCAGCCCTTTCAAGCCGGCCAATAATTTGTGCTCCCCGGGCGCCCTCCTTTTGCAACCGATTCCTCGTACCGACCAAACGAGAAGCGCAGTGTCGCGCCTTGTAGTGGCACGCCCCGACAAAGGTCCCGAACTTCTCCTTCGAGTACAAAGATGCCTTGGCCAAGCCCGCAAGCCCCCGCCCCACCGACCGATCAAACGACCGCCCGGCAAACTCAAGCAGGAAAACAAAAGGATCCTTGAACAGGTTGCAAAATAGACGGTCCCCAACATACCCGTTGGACATTTGGGTTAGGGGGCTAGGCGGTTTTAGGGCTTGGGCCTGCAAATTGAACATCTTGGCCTTTGAGACGGCTGGCTGACCGTTTTGAACGGCGACCCTTTCTTCGATGATTCTCTCTCAAAAGAGAACCTCCAAAACCGAACGTGGGAAAGAAAAATGCGCAGAACTCAGAACACCGCCGTTCTAATTCGTGGGGAACCTGGCAACAAGAGGTGCGCTGCGGCGCTGCAACATGTTCAGCTCAGGACACGACGAAAAACCCTCCGACTCCCTTTGCCTCTCCCAGGGCTCCCTCACCAAAACAAAGAAAGCGCATTCCCCATAGGCGCGACAAGCTCCGCTTCAGCCGAAAAGCCAATTGCAAGCCAATTCGATCTCAACCCATCAGGGTTGAGACTTGCGCGGGACAACCGCAAAGGAATGCAAAAAGTGATTGCGCTTCTTGTCAAACCTGTCTGCTCCCGCTTCATTCCAACAGAATGACTCTTCCCCTGAAGCGGCTTTGCCTTCTCTTCACGCCGGCCAAAAAAAAAAGCTCGCGCGCCCACCACTTCCTCCAACTCCCCCCACTCCTTCCCCCACTCCCTCCCCCACTCCTTCCCCCGCCGCCCACTCTTCGCATCCTCCGGTCCCAGCCGCGAAGAAGGGGCCGTGCGTAAAGCGCACGCCCAAGTCCGGGCACCAGGGCGACGCGAACTTGGCGCCCAGCACCGTGGGGCCCGCCCTCGGAACCCCCGGCCGGAACCCGCTGGAACCCGAACCGGACCCCGGAGCCTTGGCAAAGACCCCGCAGCTTCCGGCTGCTTGGGGAAAAAGAGCAAAAACGCATTTTGTGGAGGAAGCTACCTTTGGCTTTCTATCTTTTGCTACCCCAAAAGAAGCATTTCGCAGATTCTCAGGATTCCACTTTTTGCAGGAGCCTTTTTGCAGGGGGCCAATCGAAAATTGTGGACACCCTTCATGTAACCATAGAAAGATGTTACACCCCATTTTCCTGCGGGGCCGGGGGGGGGGGGGGGCAGCACTAGAAACAGTATGCAAAAGGTGTGTCCTATACCAGATGTACAGCGGGCGAATCTGGGGTGGGGATCCAACGAAGATGTCCAACCTGCCATCACATTCTGGGGGTAGGGCCTGCCCAACGCGAGATGCCTCAGAACTCATGGCAAAGGACAAAACCTTGAAAGATTAGATACCTTTGGCAGACAACACTCGCAGGACACACAAGAAACCTCAGACAACAAAACGAAGTTGGCAAAATATTTTTGGAGAATTCACCCATGACGTGTAGCGTCTCGAATCGCCGATCGGCTTTCCAAAAGCCTGCGCCAATTGCAACCCAACCCCCGAGGGATTCAGGCAACCAAACCCTTTCGCCCCCTTCAAGTGCATGCCCGCTGTTGGACATGATGCACCGTGCCTGTTATATCGAGTGTTTGGTATGCTTCCAGACCCCCCCCCCTAATTCCAAGCCCTCACCCAGCCCGTCAGACGATGCCAAAAACCTAGAGTTTGCCAAAAAGCGTAAATCAGAAGATGCCAAAAACGGGCTGTCTCTCTGAACAGGTCGACTACCACCAAATTTAGGTCCCGCTCCGTTTTCTTTTGCCTCTCATCGCCTCAAGAGGTGCAGAAACCCGCAGAAAGAAGATGCTTTCCCGTCGAACCCACCTCACAACCAAAAAAGATACATCAACTTCTCCTCCCCCTCCCCCCGCGCGCAGCCGATGCGCAAAGAAAAAGAACGCCGACGCGCACAGGCCAAGGTGCTGGAAGGTGACCTCACCCACCACGTTCTTCAGCTCCACGCCCTTCGTGTCCAGGGCCATGCGCACGTCCTCAAGAAAACCACAAGCAATGGCTCCAAGGTGACGGGTAACTCAAACAGGGCAGTCAAATGGGGTGTCCAACCCTCGTATGTTTCTGAGCTCCCCGCCGGGAAGCCGGTGTAGGTGAAGCCTGCCCCACTCGAGCTGGGCAAACTGGTTGAACCGACCAACAATACTGGGAAACTACAGTATCCATTAGAAGCGGCCACTGGGTTTTGCCAGCCTGGAAAATCTGAAATTCATGTGGCTTGAACCCGGTCCGCCTGGGAGAATGAAGGCTTTTCAACAAAAAAGCAACAATCCGGTCTGCCAGGTCGGCCACCCGTGCTGCGGCCGGCTTCCCCAGGTCCAAAGTCAGCCCCCTCCCCGTTCCCTTCGAAGGCTTCGATGGCGGAAAGAAACAAATGTCATCCACCAATACCAACGAATACAAGCCACGCAGTATTCAGCCCAAGGTCTCCCAACACGAACCTCGTGCCATCCTTCGCCAGGCCCTTCCCATCCTCTTCCGATCTTCCGATCCCCCCGCCGGCCCGACCCCATCTTGTGGCCCCGGCCGGTCTTGGTCTTCTTCAGGTCGCTGAGTTCCGGCTTCAGGTCAATCCGCAGGCCCTTCATCACCTCCAACAAACAACATCAGGCGCAACCCCCTTCGCCGGCTGAAAAACAGAAACGATCAATGAGTTCTCACCCCGACCAGTGGTCGAGCTCAAAACATCCGTCTGTGGCGAGTCTGTGGGGTGTTCAAAGGGTGGATTCTGACCATGGCGGAGAGGGGGAAAAAAAAAGGAAAAAAAAACTGAACACAGATCCTCTTGGCTCCCCTCTTCCAAGATGGCCAGGGGAGAGGGGACTCCTTTCCAAAAAACAAGAAGGGACCTGCCCCCTCGCCTTGTCAGTGGAGCCCTCCAACTTCACGCCACCGCTCTTGTCCACCTCCAGCTTGTCCTCGAGTCCAGAGGTCGGCTTCCCAGGGAGCGGGGGGGAGGGGATCAAGAACCTGGACAACCCAAAGGGTGCCGAAGGAAGGCGTCAAACTGAAACGGGGATCACAGGGTCTTTGAACCACCCGAGATGAAGGCATTGAAGCCTCCACGGCCAACAAGACTGCCAAAGGTATAAACTCAACTTAAGCCTTGGAAGCCGTTTTCTCGGGACTGCAGAGGAAAACATAAAATCCTCATCCCAGGGTCCTCTATTGGGACGCGAGCCCTTCTGCCACGCATTCGGCAAAAAGACTCCGCTCCAAGCCTCCTTCGCAGTAATGCATGTTTTTGGGCGCCATGCAAAATCTCCGGAACCCCAAAGTGGCCTTCCCCCACTTCCATGTGATGTTTGAGGGTACCCTTCTTTAGGAAAACCCTCAAGCGGAATACCCGTTGGGCATGTCCGGCGATGTGTGTGTGTGTGTGTGTGTGTGTGTGTGTGTGTGTGTGTGTGTGTGTGTGTGTGTGTGTGTGTGTGTGTGTGTGTGTGTGTGTGTGTGTGTGTGTGTGTGTGTGTGTGTGTGTGTGTGTGTGTGTGTGTGTGTGTGTGTGTGTGTGTGTGTGTGTGTGTGTGTGTGTGTGTGTGTGTGTGTGTGTGTGTGTGTGTGTGTGTGTGTGTGTGTGTGTGTGTGTGTGTGTGTGTGTGTGTGTGTGTGTGTGTGTGTGTGTGTGTGTGTGTGTGTGTGTGTGTGTGTGTGTGTGTGTGTGTGTGTGTGTGTGTGTGTGTGTGTGTGTGTGTGTGTGTGTGTGTGTGTGTGTGTGTGTGTGTGTGTGTGTGTGTGTGTGTGTGTGTGTGTGTGTGTGTGTGTGTGTGTGTGTGTGTGTGTGTGTGTGTGTGTGTGTGTGTGTGTGTGTGTGTGTGTGTGTGTGTGTGTGTGTGTGTGTGTGTGTGTGTGTGTGTGTGTGTGTGTGTGTGTGTGTGTGTGTGTGTGTGTGTGTGTGTGTGTGTGTGTGTGTGTGTGTGTGTGTGTGTGTGTGTGTGTGTGTGTGTGTGTGTGTGTGTGTGTGTGTGTGTGTGTGTGTGTGTGTGTGTGTGTGTGTGTGTGTGTGTGTGTGTGTGTGTGTGTGTGTGTGTGTGTGTGTGTGTGTGTGTGTGTGTGTGTGTGTGTGTGTGTGTGTGTGTGTGTGTGTGTGTGTGTGTGTGTGTGTGTGTGTGTGTGTGTGTGTGTGTGTGTGTGTGTGTGTGTGTGTGTGTGTGTGTGTGTGTGTGTGTGTGTGTGTGTGTGTGTGTGTGTGTGTGTGTGTGTGTGTGTGTGTGTGTGTGTGTGTGTGTGTGTGTGTGTGTGTGTGTGTGTGTGTGTGTGTGTGTGTGTGTGTGTGTGTGTGTGTGTGTGTGTGTGTGTGTGTGTGTGTGTGTGTGTGTGTGTGTGTGTGTGTGTGTGTGTGTGTGTGTGTGTGTGTGTGTGTGTGTGTGTGTGTGTGTGTGTGTGTGTGTGTGTGTGTGTGTGTGTGTGTGTGTGTGTGTGTGTGTGTGTGTGTGTGTGTGTGTGTGTGTGTGTGTGTGTGTGTGATTTTGCTTGTGTTTTTTTTATATATATTTTTTGGGGGGGAAGTTTAAAGAGAAAGCCCCAAGGGAACCAAGCACCCCCGCCCCACCCACGTTTCACTCAGACTCAGGGGGAACCAAAACGAAGCCCACGGTCCGTTGCCCGAGTGCCCGGCAATGACGATGAAGGGGCAGCCCCCGGGCTGGGGAAGGCGCCAGGTCAACTTGGCCGGGGTCATGCAGGTGTCCTCAAAAGGCCGACCGCCAACCAGCAACTGATTGGCCCTTTGAACTGCGGTTCAAAGGACTTGCTGGCGCTCAGGTAATGAGGGAATCACCCCTATAAACCATCCAACTGGCGGTTTCCTTTAAGAGGACTCCTGGGTTCATTCCCACATTCCCCACTCAGCACCAGCAAGAGGAACAAAGAAACCCAACGCCTAGGTGTCAGAGGTTTGACCCTATTTTCTTTCGGTGGTTTCCCACAGTTCCCTTTACTTCCCTTTGGTACGATCACCTGTCCATGGTGGAAAGCCAAAACAAAAGTATTTGGGCTCCATGCTTTGATTGGCGTATGCTGGGACATTCAAAATTGAGGGGGTCCCCAATGACAATCTGCAATCCGCAGAACCCCTAAGATGGTTGTTCTTCTTTTACTCTCGGTCATTGAAACTTGCCAATCCACAACCCCATGGGACGTTACAAGAAGAAAAGCACGATGAATCATGCATTGTTTCTTTGATTGTTTTTTTGGGGGGGGGAGCCAGGCCAACACAAGCCCCGGGCTTCTTTCAAAAGAAAGCCACGGTCAAAAACAGCCAGCTGCCTCTGCGAAGTGAAACAATTGACCACCAAATCATGTTGACCCCGGATCAATAAACCTGTCCTATTGCTAGGGGTGTTCCCTCCCAAAATAATAAAATCCCCACAAGAGGACACCCCCTGATCAAAAACCAATCAGGTACTCACCCTTGGTTGGACCCCTCTCTCCTCCCCACCAACAAGGCGAGCGCAAAGCCAAACGACCCGTCCTTGGTGGGGTAGAGGTCAATGGTGGTGGTCACCACGGAGCCCTGCAGCCCGGTCTTCTGCTTGGCCTGCGGGGGTGTTGCATTTTTTTCGCGACCTGGAGAACTCGACCCGTGAAAAGATCAACTTAAAGTGACCTGGTGGGCATTCATTCGGACGCGTGATGGATTCGGTCGCGCACCCCCTCATCAAATATTCCAACACAGGTTCACTGAAGTTCTGGACCACCGCCATGGCCGTACCAAATACCCTCATCCTTGAGACGTACCCGAAACGTCACGGGCCGCTGACATCCGTAGACCAGTGACCCCTCTGAGAAACCCAAGCGACGGATGCTGCCTTGAACTGGTAGCCGCTGGTCTGGTAGTCATCCGACAGCACCTCCTTGGCGGTCCTTGGAAGAGGGAGAGGTGCCGATTCTGAACCAATTCTCAGCTGCACTATTTGGAGGAGACCAAGACCAAGCCCAAAAGACCCAAAGGACCCCAAGCCCAAAACCCCAGCTCCCCCAAGCCACGGGATTTCCCGGATGTCCGCCCTCGAGGTTTGCGGCCAAAGTGCTTCTCCAGGTCGTCGAACTTCACGGGAGCCTCGGCGAGCCCCAAGTTGTTCCGCTGAGCGGCAAGATCTTCACGGGCCCGATTTCTTTTTTCTTCGGACGCTCGCCCCGTTTTCTTGCTTCTGCTTAGTAAGGAATGGCCATTCCAGGTGTTGGGAATGAACCGGACGGGGATTGATATAGGGGACGGTTTATGAGGGGTCATTCCCTCACTCCCTGCTAAAAACCAGCCAGTTTGTCCCCAACAAAAGTTCCACTCGACCGGCGCTGCGCCGGCGGCGCCCACCCAAGGCACATCCCACTCAGGCAGCGGCCATGATGAAGCGAAAGAGCTTGCAGAAAGCTGAGACGCGAAAGGCTTGAGCCAAGAAGCTGACCAAATGAGCAGTGCCCAAATGAGCCGCACCCACAAGCCCAGCAAGGTGGAAACACCTACTGGCCAGTGGGTGTTTTGGGTGCTCAAATGGTTTCAAGGATATTGTCTTCGGTCTTCGTCCCCACTCAGGACACCCTCTTGCTTTCAACCTGCCACCTGAAGGGAGTCTGTCGATTGGATTCCCTTGTGGCCTTTGCATGCCAGAACGATTCCTTTAAACCAACTTAGTGTCGAAACGTGTGATTGTCCCGTTGCTTGCTATTTAAACTAAGTGATAAAGTGCCCAAATAGTATGATTGTCCTTTGGTTCCCCTTTCAACCAACCTGAGAAGCGACGAAACAGTGATTTGTCTGTGGGCCTCTCCTTAAACCAAGCTGCAAAAGTACGCTCAAAACAACAAATACACCCAACGTCGATCCGCTCGACGGACTGCGCCAGCGGCTGTGGCAGCCGCGCCAGGCCAAGTTCTGGTCCGACACATCCTTCAGGAAACTGCGGCTTGAAGAGAAAACCCTAAAAAAAACTGGGGCTGCTGAACCCGGAACCCAAAAAGAAATCATTTTGTCCCCCAGCGATCGAGAAAGACCGAACTTAAAATGAAGCAGGAATCTGACGGGACCCGACCTAGGGTTGTTCCCGGTCAGGATTGTTCCCTAAGAGACGCCAGTTTTGGTTCGTCCAAGCTGGGCAGGGCACAACTTTGCAAGAAGCAACGTTTGGAGACTTAAAATTGGGGAGTGGGACGTGCGTGTGTGTGCAAGGTGAAGATCATTCAACATGTCAGTTTCCACGTTACACCCACCCTTGTGCTTGTCAGAAGTGTGGCAAATCCAAATCTGTAAGCCTTTGTGGAGGCTGAGCCTTGATCCAGCGTTCACTTCGGAGGGCACCTTGACAGTTCCCGGACTGGCAAAGCGGGGCGAATGCGGACTGCGCGGTTGAAGGGGAAAGCCATTTGCAATCGACGGGACTCCCAGAAAATCTTAAGAATTCATCCCTTGCGGGCTCCAAGCAGAGTCCTTCTTTGAAGCCAACCAGTTTTCCCCATCCCAGTCCCAGAAACCGCTTCGGGGCCTTCGGCACGCTGTTCCACTCGTGGGCGCTCTCCCTCGGGAAGGGCTTTGGACACGCACCAAGGCCTCCCCACTGTCTCTCTCCAAATAGGAGTTGGTCACCTAAAATGATCAGAATCCTTTTCGGCTGCCCTTTAAATACCAAAAAAGGATGTCAACAATTTCGAGAAACTCCGATATGAACAGCTTGCCAAGGCTTGCCAAAGGTAGCCAACCAAAATCTGCAAGCACGAAACAGGAACCCACCTCTTTGTAGGGGGCCAAGTACTGTCAACACAATCCCACTTGGCATGCGCCAAATTCTGAGATGCCCGCCAGCTGCTGGTGTTCCTCAGCAGCGGGAAGGTTGCATGGGCCACGCGCACCAAACATGACCATCCTTGGCTTTTCCTTGAAAGATGTCGGCGCGGTACCAAAGAAAGCTGCCCGACACCTAGCTAGCATGGCCTTCAACTCATTTCCTCAGCTCCCTCTTCAAATGGGAATAGCTCGAATTTAGATACGAATCGCTAATCCCGGTCTTCCAGCTTGATAAGGCATCTGTCGTCGTGCCTATCTGACGTTTTTGGGAGTAAATCGCACTGGAGGTGACTGAAAGCATGCGACGCTTTGGGTAAAGCTTGCAGCTTGGACCAAGTGCTCCTACAAGAGCACTACAAAAGCCCAAGTAACCTCAAGGTTCCAACAAGAAAAGGACTTCCCGGCCAGTATTGGATTGCGCCCTCATAGGTAGATAGAGCCATTTGGGGGGGATTCATGTGCTGGCTCCGACGTTACAAGCTCATGGCCATGCAAGCCAATCTAAACAACACGCTAGAAGAAAGCCAAAACACGACCCAGCAACTGGGTATCTTTTCTTGACAGAACCCGGTTGCCCCTGTTCAGTCTCTGTCTTTTTTGTTCTCCTCTTCTTCTTTTTTTTTGGGGGGGGGTGTCGTCCAAAAAGAACACACCCAGCTCGGACTTTGGGGTTTCCCCTCGCACCCAGCTTCTCTCCGACTCCGGGCCCCCTGCCGGTGCCACAACCCCGGGGCGGGCCGGAAGATCTTCTGAGACCTCGAGAAGCCGAAGCCGGGTGGGCCGAAGCCGCTGGTTTTTTGGTCTCCAATGTCCAAAGGGAAGGCGCACCAAACAAAACGCCGCAGCCGGGTGCAAGAAGCGCTTGTTGGGAAGCCACTATGTTGAGAGCAAACTTTTGAGACTATCACTTGCACTGACCCACTTTGAAGCACTCGTAGTTGAACAACCGCTTTTGGGTTTCACTTGAAAGGGTCTGGTGGCTTCAACAAAGTTTGCCCGAGTCTGGGATCACTCCTTGGCTTCACCTGTGCAGACTTTGCTGCAGCTTCTGTCGCCAAAATGTTGGGAAAAAGTTTTGGCCCATTTCGCCTTCATATGTCATATGTGCCGTATGCTTCTGCGTTTCGTTTCCTAGTGTTAGTGTGTGCTCTTTCCTTTTTCAGCCACTCACGGCAAACAAGAAGTCCTGCCCCATTCTCTTCCCAACCTTCACATCTCACTGGGTCCGTGGCTTGACGCTTTTGCCTGGGCTCGGCCGGCTTCCAGGGGATCAGTGATCAATCCAGAAGGGTTTCCAAAGGCAAGCCCCACAAACGCTTGGGTTTCCTTGGTTATGTTTTTTTTTTGCAAAACCTTGTTAAAACAAGGCGCACCCAAAAAAAGAGAAAACCAATGGTTCTGACAGCCGCGTGGTGGAGCCTGACGGCCCGTCGAAAAGTTGGGCACTGAGGGTGGCCATTTCCAAGGCTCGCGAGGCAGGCGATGGCCCGTGTGACTTCTCCCGCCAGGAACCAACATCCCTAAACTTTGGAACCAGGTTTCTTGACATCAAGCACCTTAGAACACATTTCGCATCAGCTGACCATTGAGGTGCGGCCATAGTTGTCCGACATGCCTACGAAGGGAATGAGTGAGTGAGTGAGCGAGCTAAAGCTGCTGCGCTAGCCACCCGCACCAATCGCGAACCGCGACTGGCCGGCATACGGGCAAGACAGCGTAACATCCTCGAACGGCAGCGGTTCCCGCAGGGGCTTCCCACTGTGATCACTCACAGTGGTACTAAGCCGCAACCACACACTCGGCCTCGTCCTAGCCTGAGGCAAAAGAGAGGCCACTCACAGGTGCTAGGGGCTGCAAGATGGGCCCACGCAGCAAAACGCCACACGGCTTGGACGCAGCCAGATGCCTACGAAGGGATCCAAGACCGCTCCTGCAAAGCCGCGGAACCCGATTCCAAACCCGCCCGTTGGACACAACAACCGACACCACCATCTGGTGCCAGACATTTGGGGTCTGAAAGCCAACAAGCCATGCGGCTTCATTTCCTTGGGCTCCGGGCGCGACAGAATGGAACCCTCTGTCCTGAGCCACTGAACTTCTGCAAAGCAATGAAGAGCTCTACCCACGCAAAGCTTGAAGTTTCGAAGCTGAACTGGTGAGGACTACATACTTTATATCTCCAAGGGTGCACGCGTCCTTTTGACAAAAGGCACCTGTGGGGAGGACACCTGGTCGTACCATTTTTAGGGACCCCAAACAGCTTGAATTTTGTTTGCCTGTCTTCAAACAAGGTACCCTCAAAACACACTCATATATATATATATATATATGTTTATTTATTTACTTACTTTGGAATTCGCAAGGGACAAGCACATTTTGGGTCTCAACTGAAGGTCAGCTACGAATGCTGGGTTCCCATCAATGAGGCTGGCTAGAGGTGCGTCCAGGAAGGAGCTTTCCGCCTCTCTCCAGATACGCCCAAGCTTAAGGCCCTTTTCCTCCAAACTGAACCTGCAAACCCTGACTTAGAGGCGCTAGATGCTCAACTTTTCTAAAATCAGCTGCCACGGGACTTCTGATTCTGAGGCAAGGTTTGAAGTTGCATCCGCTCGCTTTTCCAACCCAAACGGGTCTGTCCAAACACGGGGGACCCCTAAAAAGGTGGGTCCTGTTGCTTTTTCCTGGGGGCACCATCTGCCTTTCCCCCAGGCAGAGAAACAAACAAAAACACCAACCCAACAGGACCGCAACTTTTCAGGAAGCGCCCAAAATCCAACCCGTGGACCTCCCCAATGGAATGGGAGCCCCAGCTCGTCTTCCAGCACCGGCGGCGCTAGGCTCCTAAATGCCTGCGGATCGTTTGGGATCCCCAGACACTTTCCGACCCAGATTCACACCCGAAAATAAATTCTCTGCGACCAAGTTCAGGGAAGGCTTCTCAATGAGGATTCCCTCCAACAATTTTGGAAGCTGATATCCCTTTTTGCAAAGCAAGAAGATGTCTCCAAGCGGATGTTTTGTGGCTTTTCGGCGGTTTCCGTTGAGCATCACAAAGATGCACCTCCCAAAACCAAACCGAAAGAGCCTGCAGGGTATTTTTTTTGGGTGGGTTTTCCTGGAAGACCATGATCTTTTTAAAGGGAGCCCCTGTCCTGTCCAGAACTTCCACCGTCGCTTCTTGGGGCAAAAACCGGACCGCGGGTCCCCTCTTGCCACTCCACTCGCCACTGCCTCAGGAGCCTTGGCCAGCCACTTGGCTAGGGACTTCTTCGAGACGCGGCCCGTTCCTCGGATGTCTCAGGATTTGGCCTGCCCAAAAAGGCCTCTGGGTTATTGACCCACACCCATTTTGGGAGGCCCGACATAATGAGGGGCACAAGTACTAAAGATTACGAGGATGACAGGAGCGTCATTCCTGAAGATGAACAAGTTCAAGATATAGCGGAGAAGATTTGCTAGTCAACTGGTGTGCTGTGGGAACGTTTGAATCCAACAGGAAACGACAACTCCGCCACCAGGAGGCCTTTCAACGAAAACTTCGGCCAGCAACGGGGAAACGATGTGTTGCGAACCCCGCCTTCGGCCCGCTTTCCGGTGGCATTCCAAAATTAATTCGCCACTTAGAGACGTCCAACTCGACACTTCGCCGCGCATACAAAACCAAAAGCTCAAAACGCGTACCTGCCTCCAAAAAGGCCAACCCGCAACAACTAACATGGAACCCAAAGGGTCTCTTGTACAGTTTGAATTTCGAAGGGATCTCCAAAACCACCGGGATATCCCCGGCTCCAAAAATCGCCTCCCCACTGGGCGTTGATCAGACGGGTTGCGCGAGACGTCCATGAAGGAGAAGTGCATCTGGAACTCCTCCGCTGTGGGGTTCCGACCCGTGAAGTATCCTCGGGGGTGCGTCGAGGAGATCTGAGAGGGACCCAAAAAAATGGCGAGGGTGTCCTTTGGATCCATCCTTGGTTGCTGGGAGCGGATCAATCCATCCGACAACCTCGACGCAAAGCTTCTTTGCCTTATAAGGCTGAGTGAAAGGGAGATTGAAGGAAACGAAAGGGAATCAGAAAGTTGAAAAGGTAAGTTCTGGGCATACAACACAGCTCGTTTCATCCCAGCGGGAATGAAATAAGCTTTGTCTCAGAATTTGAGGCTTGAAACCAGCCGACAGCCGCGCGGTCATCGATTCTTGTGCTGGGCATCAGGCTCCACATGTCGCGGAACTCCGGCTCTTCGAGGAGCGCATCCTGCTGCCACAACACACGAAACATGGACAGAAACAACAAAACACTGAATACCAATCTCAACTAGAATAGAGTGATCTCTAGGTAAGGAACCTTCATTGTGGTTGAGCTCGTGCTTCCCGCAGGCGTGTACGCAATAAATGGCTAAGAGCTCGGGCCATTTCATAGGATGTCCCCTCAAAGTGTAGATTTTGAGGGACCCCTTCTCAAGATTACTCTTGGGACCGGTGGTTCCACAAACACAAACGCCATCAAGCTGCAAGTTTGAGGGTCGCTTCTTGGCCCGGGGTCTACAACCCCAGATCAGCTCGGAGCTCCGGATCCGCATCGAACATGGCCAGGTACAAGCTCGCAAGCTCCTGGGGCTTCTCCGCCGACGGGCAAAAAGGGGCTGAACTCCTTTGAGGTTCCTTTGCGCTTGCCTTTGAGAACCAACAGAAGGTCCAAAGGAAAAAACAATAACAGACACACCAAAAAAAAAAAAAGCGACGTCCGCGCATGTTCCGTCCATGGGACGCTTCGGGCGCCGCAGACGCCGCAGGAACAGCTCAAACTCCTCGGCGCCGCGTTGACGGGGGGGGGGGGGGTTTGGGGGTTGGGGGGAAGGGTCCCAGAGAAAGGGGTGGCCTAAAAGGTCAAATGACCTTTTGACCTTTTGACCTTTTGACCTTTTGACCTTTTGACCTTTTGACCTTTTGACCTTTTTGCAAAGCATCATGAACAAACGAGGCATCCAAGCATGGAAGCTGCCCAGCGGGGCCAATGGCTTGCTGGTTTGCCCCTTGTGTTTTCCCGAGTCCACTTAAGGACCGAGGTGACTCAAACGGGCGGAAGGAAGGAAGGAAGGAAGGAAGGAAGGAAGGAAGGAAGGAAGGAAGGAAGGAAGGAAGGCAGGCAGGCAGGCAGGCAGGCAGGCAGGCACGGAGGGAGGGAGGGATGGAGGGAGGGAAGGAAGAACCTTTTTGTGGTGAGAAACCACTAGAAAAAACACCTTTTCTCTGAAATGAGGGGGGGTCCCCTTTAAAAAAAAAGGCTGATGATGGCACATTCCTATTTGCGCCGAAGCTTGACCCTGATGCGGCGGGGGCGCCTCGCTGTCTAGAGTCCCATTCCGGTCCGTGTCGGCCATCTTGATGCAGTACTGAAGCACCTGCAGTGGAAGGTGCTTCTTGGAAGGAACACTCCAAAGGAAACTGATTTGACATTAACATCCTCCAGATAATGCTTGAAACCACCAAGGAAGCATAGGGGTCAGTACGGAAATGCGGCTGCGTTTCTGAGCAAGTTTGCTTCACGGGGATAAGCACAAAACGGACTGGCAAAGAGGCAGGAGCCAAGCGCAAGCGAGCCAAACAGCCAGCCAATCAGCCCAGACTGACCAGCCAACATCCAGCCAGGCAAAGAAGCAACAGGCAAAACGAGTAAGCAAACGCCGATTTGCCGAGCAACCATTGCTTCTGTGCCTTTTGTTTGGGGACCCGTAGCCTTCCTTTTGCCCTCCTTTAAAACTTGGGGGGAGAAAAAAAAAACTAGCTGCTAGCACCCGCAAAGGGTGCCACAGATCCCGCCCCAAACGCAAGGGCCCCCTTCAACGGCCACACGCCTTTGCCTGTCGAGCCACCTTAGACGCCCGCTTTTGAAACACGACGTCACAGGGACGGGGGTGCGCGTGCCAAAACTGGGGGGGGAGATTTCAAGAACAAAGGGCCGGCCAAAGGGGTCGCTCTGCTTTGGAACTCACCCCCGCTCCCTTGTTTCCCTTGTGTCCCTTGTTTCCGGACCCACGGACCTGGGTCATGTTGATCTCAGACCTGCCATAGCTTCCGACCTGCGTCCCAGAGGCTCACAAGAGCCGGCGTGTCTCCAACTGGGATAAGGAACCACCTCGAAACAGTCCATTTCGCCACCCAAACTTGCCACCCAACCTCCCACAAAATGAGGGCCCCCTAGCGACTGGAAGGGGTCGCACCCTTCTGAAAACTTTGAACGAAGCTAAGAACCTTTCCTACGTTTGCCTGTTCCCTTACAGTGACATCCTCATGCTGGAAAGGGAAAACCATCAGGACTCATGACCCAAAAGCCATGTTGAGAACCCCTCAAACACAACCACTTTAAGCTACCCGCAAAACACAAAGAGACTTTGTTGCTTCCTGCTCCCCCTGCTAAAAGTTTACCTAACTTTTGAGTGGTGTAATGAAAAAACCCATTGCAAAATGCACCAAAGAAAAGATGGCTGGGGGGTCCCTCCCTTTTCTGATGTCCGCTTGGGACCCAGGGTAGCTGCTTCCCGCATGCGCCGAAGCTTTGGGAGCAGGACGCTCGCTCCGGCCATCGGCGAGAGGATCAGGCGCAAGGCCTGTCCGAACTCGGACAGACGATGCTCAGCCAGGGAGGGGGAAACAAAACCCGACAAAATGTTTGGAAACAAGGAGGGGTACCACCGGAAAAGACAAAAAGGGGGAGACAAATAAGGGGCGAAGATTTGAGGGGGGACAAAACCCCAAAGGGAAAAAATAAGATTACCTTAGAAGCGAACACCTATTTGGGGAGGGAAAACAAATGGTCAAAAACAAGCTCCCAGGAGTCATGGATTTCAGGCCATTTCGCAAACACGGTTGGCCCAGTTGTCCATCTAATCTGCACGGTGTAGTGCTTACTTGCCTCTAAGAACTCGTTGCAGTGCAGCTCTTCCACGCTGATCTCCTGAGTTAAGCCGAAGGGGCAGCGAAAAATGAAGAAGAAACCCTGCAATCTGTGGATTTCAATGGCATCCCAAAGATTGAACGACCCAAGAGTCGAGCTCTTAGCCTGCTTGTCACGGAACCCTTTTAAGGCCGATCGCTAAGGGAACCGCTCACAGAGAGCCCCGGGAAGGCCCTTTCTGCAGGTTTGGGGCACCTGACTCAACCTAGGCGGCTCGGAATCCTTTGGGCGATGGGAAGCGCTCTGCCACACGCCCTGAAAGTACGTACCCCGGACCCGCGCATGTCGTTCTTCCGCTTGAACCTTGCAACTTCACTCGCCCACATTCCGCTCATTTTTCCCCTCAGCCGAACCATCCGTTGGGATGTTCCGCATGAAACGCGAGGATCCGATCCAGGGCCGAGGACAAACTTGCCTCATCCGCCTCTGCGAAAGCAGTTGACTCCATCCACTCCCTCTCTCTCTTGCGCTCCCTGCCTCTACCAATTCAAACGAGTCTCCTCCCTTGGCATGTCACAGAAAGTGGCACGTCGCTAATCGCTGCCCCCCTTACCAATTGGCAATGGGTACGGTTGGGGTCCCCCCTCCCTCCCCCAGTTCCAAATTGCAAGTCCGGGCAAGGAATTTAAATTAAATAGCAGGAGTCACTTTTCTGATTTGCGGTTCCAAACTGATTAGTGTTGGTTTAGTATCGGTTTAGTATTGGTGGGCTCTAGGGAGTTGGGGCCGGCAGGAAAACGTAACATTGCATATCTCTAGCTCAGTCTTGGGACATGAGGGTCCGAATTTTAAAAAACACACGTACATTCATACGGTGACCTTTCTTGGTGTGTCCATATGCACGTTGGCTCGCCTTTAACAACCCTAAAAAGGCAAAGACATTTTTGTTTATATTATTTTTTATTTTATTGTTATTCTTTTTTAAGAAAAAAAACGTGATAACAATAATAACAATAATAACAATAATAACAATAATAACAATAATAATAATAATAATAATAATAATAATAATAATAATAATAATAATAATAATAATAGAGGGGGGGAAAAAGAAGGAAACAAACTTCGCAACCCCAACGAGTCGCCTCCAAGGGGATGCGGAGATGGAAGTTGCCAGGGCGCTGCCCGAAGCTGCAGCCCGGAGCTGTCAGGACCCCGGTCCTCTGACCACAAGTATCCAGCCCTCACGAAGTGAGCTAAACATGGACCAAGGGGTCCCCCCCTTCACTTCCCAGCGACTGCCGCCTTTTTTTTCCTGTGACCAGTGAACGTCTCGCAAAATCTGAACAGAGAGACTTAAGGGAACCACGAGGGGGCTAAACCTTGAAACAGGAGTTCAGCATGTGCTTGGGACCTTTTGGGGTTGCTTCGCCAAAGAGGAGACCAATGGATCAGGGAGAATTGTAAAGTTTTTCCACACAAATACAGCCTCTAGCCTCTGGCCACCTTAAAAAGGGAATCAAAAGAAGGTTGTTGAAAACAGTATCAAGTAGGAAGACCTTCAAACAAAGATCAGGAGGGTAGCCTCCAGAAGAAAAAAAATACACACCAAAAAAAGTACTGTGCTGAAACCGTGGTTGGAACACGTCGCAACACGCCACCCTCTCCTCTCCAACAACTCGGTGCAGTACACATCATCCGCCGGTGTGGCCAGGGAGATTGCCTTCCTAGCTTTGCGGATGCCAAGCTACGGGGAACCTGACACAACAACAAAAAGAATGACTGACTTACAGTGTGTTTCTAGGGGAACCCCCTAGATTGTGGTTTTCCCGTTGGTTTTCCTTTGAAACCACCAAGAAACCAACAATTTGGTCCCTGGTTTTACCACACAGCCATTTGCGGATGCCAAACCTGAACACACCTGCAACCAAATAAAATCCTCGACCTTTCGCTCAGTCCGCACTTCTTCCGTCTCTTCGGCCGGATGTGCGAGGACAAACAAAAAAAGAGCTCGAATCGGGAATTCGGAGGATTAAACAAAAAAAGGAGAAGAAGCAGAAAATGCGAGAGCTCGAGCTTCTTCATGATGTAGCCCTTGATGATCACTTTGGGGAAGACGTGCAGACCCGCATCGATGGGCTCACATGAGATGCCCTTGGCCTATGGGGTTACAACCGCTTGAACGACCCTGTCAACCAGCCTGTCCACTTTCTCATGTCCGCTATTGTTTGGAGGTGCTCTGGAATGGCCTCCAAACCAAAATCCCGAAACCACCAATCCAGGAGTTCTCTGACTCCGGGTAGTGAGTAATTATCAGTTATCCCCAACATACCAGTTTGCAATCGGAGATTTCAACCAAATGGGTCAGCCACAATTGGGGCATGTTCTAGCTGCTTTACCGAAAACGGGTGCAACCAATTTTCCCACCGCCCTCCTCTGTGAGGCGTGCCACAACCTGCGCGGCACGCAGGGAAAGCTGCGCCTGAAGCTCAGTTCTCGCGTCGTCCACCTGGAGGTGCCACCGCCCCACCACCCTCACCAGAAGATAACAAAATAACCCACCAGCAAACCACCGGGTTTAGTCCATGTGTCCATTTAGCGTAGTCAGGTGGTATCGGGACCCAACAGCCCATCTCCAGGATTTTCCCTGAAAGCTGCACCCCCAAACTACCCCACAGCCTGGCCCCCCATAGTTTTCAGCTGTTGGTGGAAAACAAGACTAACACTTGGGTGGGGCTTCAGGAACAAACATTCGGTGAGGGCGCTTTTGGGTGGCCTCTCCAGATTCTCAGATAGTTCTCCTTTGGGCTGCCCTGCCCAGAAAGGACGCAGGAAAAAGCACACAAGATTTGGAAGTTCTTTTCCACAAACATGAAATTGGGGCAGCATCTCGGCCAACGAATATGCTGGGGAGATTGAAACGACAAATCACCCGCGCGCCCGGAATTTCATCAAAGGCGGTTCCCCTTTCACGTGAATCCGAAGTCGGTCTCATGAGTTGACCCTATGGCTTTCCGAAACCCAAAACAAATATTGGTTGGGCTGAGAACGTTCCACTGCGATACCATTGGAAGTCTGCCCAAGCAGAAGTTCTCTGAACTTACCAGGGGGAAGCACTGAAACATCCGCAGATTCTACGCCACATCCAAAACCAGCAGCAACGGATCCCAAGTGAAAGGACGCCCATCAGGAGCGAGCTCGACACAAACTAAAGGAGAACTATGTCACTTTCACAACCACAGACATAGGCTCTGTTCCGCGCCCAGCCACGCGGAAGGCCCTGGACAAGAGGGCGCACGCCAGCGCCTGCCCATCAACGTCGGGTGCGCGATCTGGGGAAGACTGCAGCCGCTTGAGCGCTTGGCTATCGACGTTGTGGCAATGAAGCACCGTGCCCGCACCACTGAGGTCCTTCCCAGAGAAAATGGACACCTGGGCTCAGGTCTTCGAACCCCTGCCAAACAAAAAACGAACTCGGTCATGTCCAGACGGCTCACCAAAAAACAAAGCGAAACAGCTGCTGAGGATATTGCTGGGTCCATTCAAGTGACATCCTAAAGAAAACCCCCCCCCAAAAAAAAAAGACACCACCAGCGGCTTCCAAGTGCAGGAAGGAACCTGATACCAGAATGGGCCATCCCTGTCACTTTGCCCGGGGATCTCGCAGAAAATTGCCCCGAAGACCCTTCAAACTATACGCGTCACTTTAGGGGAGCGAGCCACCGAGCCGCCACCGGCACGTCCAAGTTTAGCTCTTTGACCAGGTCACGGCAGCTTCTCACCGGCGGCCCATGTAGAAACACCGGGTCCTCCTGCCAAGGCCCGCAAGTCGCACCCGAAACGGTGTTTTCTTCTTTTGGAAGGCACCCCTTCTCACCTTGGCATCAAAAATGTGATGTTGACAGTCGCCAAAGGAAAGTCATCCCCACAGTCACCCTCCGAGATGTGATTTTCAGGGTGTGACTTTCACGGCCCAGAAATACAGCGTTTTATCGAATCCTTCTGCGGGCCTCACATGCGTCGTCGAACAGAAGCCCCAGAAGGTTAGTTTCATACTGGTTTTCCTGAAAGTAGGATGAGCCGTGTACCCTTACTATACATATATGTATATATGTGTATATATATATATATACACATACGTATAAAGAGGGGCAAAAAATGAATCACCACACTCTAAAACTAATGACCGAAAAGTAAAGGCCATTGAGAAGCCCTTGAAATGATCTTCAGCGGGGCAGAAAAATGCCCACCCATCCATGTTCCAGCCCTCCCCATTAAATGAACATTGGCCAACAACGACCTCCAAGCGTGACATTTCTCTCCAACAGCGATTGTTGCCCTCAAAATCGCGCCAAAAGATGCCTTGAATGACATGTCTCCAAAGCAAAAACCGATAATAACAACCTCTCCCCACCCCACCCATCCACCCTGCAACCAAAAGCATGGGTCCGGGCCAAGGCTGGCCGGCCGGCAGTCCTCCGTGAAGACGGCGAGCCGGTGCCTGGCCGCCAGTTTCAGCAACTTCCTCAGGGTGCCGAGAGGCAGCAGGTGCCCGGAGACCCCGGGGTTGTTCACCACCAGCACGCCACCCTGGCGGGTTGGTTTCAGCCAGACCCCACGAAATCTTGGAGGGTCACTGACCATGGAGATTTTGGGCTCCTTTCCCCCCCCAAAAAAAAAAAAAAAAAAAAAAAAACAACGAGCAAAACCCGTGGAGTTGCAACCTTGTGCCTCGTGCCCCTTGTGCCCTTTGCGGCATACCAAGAACCAGCCACTTGGAGGCAGAGCACCCCATGTTAGGAGGCCTCCCCCCTGCCCGTTTCCCACGGATGGGGTCTGGGTTTGGTCAGGAACCCCCGCGCGCCTGCGAAGGAGCCCCCAAGGCGCCCTCAAGCTCCTCCAGATTCACATCCCAACGCCTATGGCCCAGGGTTCAAAGCGGTTCAAAGAAACGGAGCAGTGCGTTTGCTTGCTCCTCTCATCCCCCAGAAGAAAAAAAAAAGAGAATGGCCAAACACCAAAAGCGACTTTGGATCCAGTAACAAAAAACGAGATGGAGTTGCAGCAGGCCGTTTGGCACTTGGCGACTCCGCTTCGGCCTCGTCTCCTCCAGGAAATACCGCGCCATGGCCGCTTCGGAAGCGGCGCAAGCGCCCTGCCAGGGCCAGGCAGGCGCGGGCAGCGCCACAAGGCCGAGGCGTGGTGCCAAATGGAGGAAGGCCTCGACTGAGGGAAGTGGAAACCTCAACCAGCCCCGTTTCTTGACATTTGTTCAGGGTACCAATTCTGTTTGAATTTGTGTAAATTGAGTTTTGAGGCTCACCTTCTTTATCGCAACCCCCTTCCAAACCTTTGTCCGGCTTTTGTTTGACTTGACCAGTTTGCTCATGAATGCGCGGCGGCCTCCCGCCTCCCATTGGCCCCGCCTGACGCCACGCCTCCTCCGCGCTGTCGAAGAAGCAGAGCTCCGGCACCTCCACGGCCCAGGCCGCTGCCACCCGCTCCACGCCCTGAGCCCCGGGCCAAATCCAAATCATGCAAGCGAGGCAAGCGAGGCCCAAGCAAGCGAGGTAAACTGAACCAAGCCCTGCATTTGAACAGCCCAAGCACAAGAGTCACGGTCCCATTCCACTTGCTTTTGAGAAACCTTGCCATTGCCAGCGGCCCCCCGCTTCGAAAAAGACGCAACCCCCTATGTTGCGTCGGGCCTGGCCCGGCGCAGCAGCTGCCTCCTCAAGCACTTTCTGATGGAACCCGCACGGCACAGGCGCCGAGCTCAGAAGACGACGGCACGGCTTAGGGGCCTTCGCAGATGCCGCGAGAGGCCGCAGCCCGGTCCAAGCGCAGCGCAAGGCAAGCATGGCGCTGCCATGGGATTGTCCGTCCCAATCTGCGGAAAATGTGTGGAATTCCTAGAATTTCCTAACCGGCAACAAGGATGTTTGGTTGGATGATCGGTGCGGCCCAAGCTACTCCCCCGCACAAAAGGAATATGAGACCGCGAAACTCTTCGATTCGCCCTCCACATTCGAGCTCCAGCTCCAAGCTGAGCATGCAGCGCCCCGAGCTCCAAACAAGCAACATGACGGCGTAACCACCAACACACCAAGTGCCCGACGCCGTTTTTGTCCCGGTCAATCCGGGACCACCTCGGGTTGCTGACAAACACCATAAGCATAAGGGAGTCTTCGTGGCTGCTTCATCCGTAAACCGTCGTGAGACACCAGATGACCATCCGGCATAAGGCTTGACTCTGACTTTGAAGAACTCACGTTTTCCAGCGCTGGCAAAAAAGTTGTTGACTGTCTGGGCTTTGAGCATGGCGTTGGCCCTCACAAGCCCCGAGTTTCGGACAATCTGGCGGCCCATTCTTTGTGCTCCTCGAGGGTCACTACCTGACAAATTCAGAGACGGGATCACGGGATCACGGATACCAGCCCCGAAGAAAGGTTTTATTGTTGAGCCTTCAATGAAGGAAAAAGTGAACAAATGGAAACCAAAGCTTCGAGTTCTCAACAACTTTTCTGGAACGGGGAGGCCTAACGTTTCTCGACTCATAAACCTGAGCACCCCCCTCACCAAATGAGGCCCCGGCACCAGTGATTCGAATAGCCCGCCTCAGCAGGCCCCCAGACAGGACAAACCTTTACATGTGGGACACTTCCAAAACATCTGCATACAAGGCTGGCCGAAACAGGCCCCTCTTTTCATTCAGTGTACTCAGGATTCTCGTTTGACAACTGAACAAGTTCTTTTGGTCATGAGTCAACGAGGTTGGCTGCCAGCTCTAAGGTTCTTGCTGCATCGGTCACGCAGTGGGCCGGAGGCACCCGGACCAGCCATTGCCCATCTCTGACTCCTCCCTCTGGCCCAACGGGCTGCAAAGCCGCAACAGCATGCAAGCCCAACTTGGATACTCAAAACTAAAAATTTGCTGCGTGCCCCTCCAGAGCCCTTCCAATGGTATGGGATTGTTTTTTCCTGCGAGCAGCCCCCACCGGCGCTGGTCAGCCTTGCGCCAAGCGATGCAGGACTCCTTGCTCCATCTCCCTCCAACTTCAAGGGTGAGCACCGTCAGGCGACACCGCCAGGCATGCTGGAACTCCGGGTCGGCACGGGCTGGATGGCAGAAGGCCGGGAGGTTATTTGCGACAACCTCAAGCCCGCCTAAGTGGCTGAGGCCACCACCACGGCAGGTTCGGGCCGGGAGGCACAGGCGTCAAAGGAGCACGCAGGGCGCAGCATTGCAATCTTGATGGGAGTTTGCCCGCCTCTTGGCGAGCTGCTTGCATGTGAGGAGCTGGAACAGCCACCAAGACCCTTGTGCCCAGGGCATCCCCTAACCTGCGCGCGAAGAAAAGAAGAAAAAAGGGGGCACGCAACGATACGCAACGGAACGCGTCATCCTGCAGCGAGGAGTTCGGGGATCAGCAAGGCCCGAGACGCTGTGTCGAGGTCAGAAGGGAGCGTCTTCCTTGTTTCCCGCCGCGCGTCTTTTCCCCCCACCTTGCTCTCACGAGCTGATTTCCCCCCCCCCCCCACTTTTTTGACCGCACGAAGCCATGGCTACCCCATCCGCAGCGCAGGCCGCACAGGCGAGAGCCAGGCGCCGCCCAACAAGGTGGACACCACAGTGCGCTGAAGGGCGACGCCCCCTCCTTCGCCCTCAGGGCTCAGGTGGGCGTTGGGGGGGTGCTTGGGTTTGCCCAGGTGGGCGCTGGGGGGAGGCCGGGTTAAGATGCGCCAGCAGCCCAGTCCAGGTAGCGAGGCATGAGGTGCATGTCAGCTGCCACAGAGCTGCTCTGCAAATTTGACGCGCTCCTGTCTCCCACAGGTGGAAAGCAGCACCTCGCGTTTCCACTTTTGCAAGACTAGTTTTCTTTGCGGGCGTCCGCCTTGGCATACGAGGGCAGGGTGTTCCAGGCAAGCAAAGTAGGCGGACCAAAGCCGTGACAACCCTGACCAAGAGTCGTATACTAGGCCGGTGAAGGTGCGGATGGTGTAGTCCCGAACGCTTGTTTGCGCAGTGTGCTTGTCTGGCAGACGGGGTGGCGGTGAAGGCCCTCCTCACGGCGCCAAGCTGTCAGTTGGTCGTCATGTTCAAGGGCCCACCCATCAACAGCACAAACTGCGCACGTTCCGTGATGACACAGGGGGCAGGCGACATCCCGAGGATGGCCTGCTTGGAAGCGCAACTGTGCGAGACACACTGGATGAAGGACGTGCCGTGGGCAGACCGGCAAAGGCACGGGGCGTAAGGCGCCCGAGCTGCTCGGCAAAAGGGGCTGAAAACAAACACAGCAGTCATCGCGTTCGGAGAGGATGGGACTGCCCGACCTCCACCGAGAGCCGGATCGTGAGGTGGTGTGACTGCGGCGGTTTGGGAGTAGCGCTGCGGTCGCGCAATTGGACAAGACTCAACAAGGTCCGACGGCCGCGCTTCTTACAGACACAGACATCTTCCGGATGTGGGATAATTTCTGCGGTGACACCCAGCAATCTGAATGCCTTGATAGTGCGACTGCTGATTCCAGTCACGGGCGACGAGTGAGGGAAACGGTTCAGGAAAGTTGCCTCAGTCGCGAGCCGAAAACAAGCTGGCACGGTGTTCAAGGAGGCGGCCGGAGCCGCGGATGCCAAGTGAGACACACGCGCGCGACGAGCGGCGAACGCTGAGAAGCAGGCGCGCCAAACGGATACAGCCGAACGGGGGGGCGCTGGTGGCCGCATAAGGTGGTTTCCCCCCCCCCCCCGCTTGCTGAGCCGCGGGTAAGTCTCCCCCCAAAAGTGTGAGGGGGCCCCAGGCCGTCCCAGAAGGCCGATCCCGTGATCAACGGTCTGCAGCCTGGGGGAACTCCTGTGACCAGCGGTCCAGAGCCTCGGGGGGACCGACCCCGACACCAGCGACCAACGGTCCACTGCCTCGGCGGACCGGCCCCGTCATCCACGGTCCGCAGCCTTGGGGAAACCGACCGTCATCAACGGTCCACAGCACCCACACCGAAAGACTTGACTAGTCAGAGCGGTTAGTGGCGCCATGTCCGCGCCTAACCCGTCCGCGCACGACGGGGGCAATAGTAGCATGCCCGTGCCTGATGCGGCCGGGGTCGAATTCGTCCCTTCCTCACCGGAACTGCATTTGGAGACCCCGCTGGTCGCTACCCATGAAGCGCTCACGGCAGCCACGCCTCCCTTCCCTGGTGGGGATGTCACTCCGGGCTTTCAACCATGCCCGCTGCAACACGTCGATGTTTGCCCCGCCTGCCTTGATCCGGCCTTGCCAGAGGGGACTGGCCCGGCCACGGCATGCCGCTGGCCCGTGTGCGGGCATTCGTACCATGCATTGTGCCTAGCACGCTCCCGTGCCCACGCAGTGCGCCCTATGCAGACAGGGCTGGCAGCCGGCTTTCGACATAGAGCTAGAAGCCTTGTGCGGCCAGCTTGGCATTGATTGGCACGCTCTGCAGCTGCGCGACCCCGTGCCTGTGCAGCCCGAGCCCTCAGCCATGGTAGCCCCCGATCCTAGTGATTTTGTTGAAGCAGCCTCGGAGGCACCTGTGGCCCCGGAACCCGTTGAACTTTTGCCTGCGCAAGCACTGGGTCCTCGCTCTTGGACCGCCGCCGGTCCCCCGGTTGCGGGGGCACGTGCCCGACGTCAACAGTTGGTTTTTCGTGCCTGTCCTTCTTGCGGGCAGCGGCTTGTTGCTTGCGGGTGCCGCAAGCCAGTGGTCAACCCATCCCGAACTTGCCGTTGGTTGGCAGGCGGCAGTGTCGCAGCTCCGTCGTTCCGGCCCACGCGCTTGTGCATTTCCGTTGGGTTGTGGAACGGTGCTTGACACCACAAAGTTACATCCCTGCCTCTGCCCAGGAAGCGTTGCTGCCGGCGGTCGTCCCGCAGCCCGCGGCGCCGCTAATTCCGGACTTCCCCTTGCGTGGCGCGCCGCTTCCGGCGTCAGAGCGTGATCTCACGCCGGTGCCGCAGCAACCACCTGCCACTCCCGATGGCTCGCTCCCCGTTGCTGGTCCGGCGCTTGCTTCCCCCAGAGGTCTGCCCGTTGGACTTCCCAAGCAGACCTCCTCACCTGCTGCTCCGCCCCCCGCATGCGACCCAGCAGTACCCGCCAGTGGAACGATGGGCTCGTAAGGTTGGTCGGGTCGGCGGGCGGGGTCCCGCAACTCCGCCAGGGTAGCTTGAGCCAACCCGCTCGGCACGACGCGCTGGATCATTGGCCGGAGCGGCCGGGGGCAGAGCGTCGGCTGCGGCTGGGACGCACGCAGCGGCGGACTGGAGAAGTGCCTCCCACCGGCCGGCTTGGAAATCCAAAAGCCGGGAACGTCACTCTGGCTTGGTGAGCCCGTGTGTGCCAGGGCGCCGGTGGAGAAGCAAACGGGGAAGCAACAACCACAGAGTCCAGGCCCGGGTTTGCGCGAGCTCGTCCTGAGGCCATCAATGGCCTGCAGGGCAAGTGACAGAACCGCTCGGAACGGGCCACGCAAGAACTTAGGAGGATTTTGGAAAAACCAGCACCGTTGCTGAAGGACACGAAGCAAAGCAACCTGGTCAATCCGAGCGAGCGCTGCTCGCAGTGGTGGGCTGTCCTCTTGGCAACTTGCGGCGGGCCAGGAAAGGAGCTGCAACAGGCCCTACTGGCTTTTGCCGTTTGGTTTTGGACGACGAGACTGGCAGTGCTTTGTTCGTCCGTGCTGCCTCCGCTTTGGCCCCAGCGCGCGTCCTGCCATGCATCGCGGCAGCTTTTGGTCTCGGGCGGATGGTGGCCCTTCAAAAGCCGAATGGGCGGGTTAG